AGACGACATATAGGGCTGCGCTGCATGTGTGGACGTCCCCACGTCTTATGGAAGGGTCCAGAAAAAGTTGTTTTTAGGTGTTGTACTTCCATCTGCATGTCGCTTCACCACTGGAGTATAAGAATAATGAATTGACTCTTTCACACATTCTGGTTATTTCGCAGAAGGCGCACGTGGCTCTTGTGTTTTGTAAACTCTGAACTTATGTGAGGAATAAGAAAATGTTAGAAATCAGCCGTATCGCTCCCTCCTTCTTTTACCTTCTCATTCTGTCTTCATCTGTCTCTGATGTTCTAAAGCGCATATTTTTTTCCTCTGTGTTTATTGGTTGTTTATTTGGTTTCCACTACACAGTGTGCATGTCTTCTCTCTTTGCCGCTGCTGCCACTTGCCGTGTGATAATGTGTGCCATCTGATAGTCATCTGATAGTGACTGTTCAGCTCTTCTGTTGGTACTTTCAGCCGTTTCTTCCAGCAGCTGATTTCTTTTTATTTTCATTTTCTCCTGATTGCATGCTAGTCTTGCAAGCGAATTTCCAAAGTAAGCATTACTCTTTTTTTTCTGTTTTTCCAGTGTTTCTGTACCCACCTTCCCCCAGTGCACCTTGTCTTGTGAGTCGCTCTGTCCAAACCCTGAAATGCTTCACTCTGAACCCAACCTTGTCTGCACCCACAGTCGCAGCAGATGCACATTTATGTCACATCACAACAGGCTCTTTTTGCTGTTTAAATGTAGAGAAATAAAGGAAACTGTATAAAAAGCAAATAGACACACATATAATGGAGCAATATTTTCAAACAAACATTTCTGGTGCAGACTCATAATGAAATAAATACTGAAAACAATTCTCTTTCTCCTCTTCGGCCTGCGTCCCATCCTTCACTTAACAAACTTATACTGTGGTTACACTCTGGTAAGGAAATCCTCATATCTGTTGTGCTATGTTACTGCTCAGCTGCAGAGGGATAAACTCTTAAAAATCTTGCCAGCATCCAAGTTCAGAGCTCTAAGACAACATCATTATTTCAGTAGCCTGTCTGTTGCCACATGAGAGAATCCCTCCTGCTTTTTGTCTTGTGCCACGAGCCCAAAATCCCCCCTGTCCTGCAGAAACTGCAGATTGGTGTCATGTTTCAGTGCATCGCCCATACTGTTGCTTCAGCCATCTAATTTGCTTCTTGTCGGACTTTCTTCCATGTGTTTTTGGTACAATAAACTTATTTCTTATAGGGAGTCAGTAAATAGGATCTTATTTGTGTCAAATTTTATAGACAGCAGAAATAGGATAGACATAGAAATCATGAGAGACTGATGTGAAGAGCAGCTTCATGATTCTGTATTTGCGACTATGCTGTTGCACACACATACATACACTCACTGTATCCCAGTTGATTACATCACTCCTCAGTCAAAGCACCCACCCATCCCTCTGCCCCAACTCCATTACAATCCTCCCACGTGAACCTGTGGTCAGCAATAGCCCCATGACCCCAAACATGGCGTGAGGTCATCCCAGGAGCGTGAGCCTGATCCCCCCAGTGCTAATATAATCCAAATCGGTACCTTCAGCAACAAAGAGGGTGCCGTGCCTCTTTGCAGTATGAGCTAAAGCAGTGATGAAACAACAAAAATCAATCAGGGTTATCATGTAACATACAAAGTGGATGGAGGTTTTTGTAGCATGCTAACATTTTGGATGTCGGGTCACAGAAAATATTGTCCCTCTTACCCTCGATTTATTTGTTTTCATTTTCTATGTCTTTCATAGTTCATGTTGCTAAGTGCTTTGGTTAACATGTTCTCTTTAATTTTCTTTCAGTATGACAGACTAAACCTGATAAAAGTAAGCATTTTTTCTTGCATCATTTGACCCACTGACAGTTCCCGCTGGCCCCAGTTAAATCCCCCAGCCCTTCAATTCCTCTGTAGCTGTGTGACTGTAGGATACATCTTTCCATCCCTTGATTTAGTGACTTGTAAACTGTATTTTTTTTTTTTCTTTTTTGGTTCTACCGTGATTAATTTTGGCTGATTTGAATTTAGCCACAAATGTCTAAAAGAAAGATGTTACTCTAAATTTGATCTTTATTAATTGTTCTGAAGCTCTTTATCTGGCAAAAGAAAAATAAATGTTTTTTTGTAATTCATAGCCCCATATGTGTGGATTTTTAACTAAATAAATGTCAATTAAACCAACTGTTTAACTGTTCAGTGGTCTATTTCTCATATATACTGTCACAGTAAATGATCTGTGTGTAAACAATGGCATCACAAATCTTACAGACTGACTAGTGTGTAGTCACACAGTGTCAAACATTCCAGGCAGTGGCCTCAAAGTAATTCCTCTCTTGTGTCTCCGTCCCCTTCAAATTAGATTAGCCCACATTACAGCCAGGCGTCAGGCCTACTACTGCAGTTCACTGTTCACTAACACCTCGCACAGCAAATAACCGAAGAAGCCTATAGACTCAGACAACCCCAGGCACAAAAGAAAAACTAAAAGCATTTCAGGCTTTTGAAAGGACAAATTTACAATTAACAATAACCTGTGATGCAACTATGAGACAGTTTGTGAGTGTTTTTGCTTTAACTTAAATGTGGATATCCCTTTTTTGGCCCTCTTCCCACCCTGAATACCCTGCTCTTTCTTTCACACTGTGAATTAACACCTGCATGTTCCCCACAACGAATTGTTCTGCTAAACGGAGCAGAACGTGTGTTTATGTGGTTGAGAAAAAGTTGTAAGTCAGGATTCAAATACAGTATATCTTTGTTGCCCTCTGCTGTTAGAAAACTGCAACTGAAACAGCTGGTTGTTTAGGAAGAGCACACAAAACACTAGTCAGCACACATAATTTATGATTATCACCGAGCACCCGTTATATTTAATATAATGTGGTATGGAGTATTAAATCATATTTTCACATCTCTCACTAAACTGCTAAGAAGGTGTTTGATGGAGAAACTTTCAGATAAATCAGTGATGACTGAATGTTTTTATAAGATGGAGAAGTGGACATTTGTAATAGAGGTGTGTTAAATAAAAACACTAACATAATTTAGCAGTGTTTCTAATGTGCTAATGCAGTATATGGCAGGTTTGGAGCAAATTTACTTTCTGCGCCGCTGACACAGGAAGGAGATTGTTTTGAACAGTATATTTGATTACTTTGAGTTCACTGAAACAAGCAGACAGGCTCTGGTATTTAAAGCGTGCTGATAGCTTTAAAGTACCTCGGTACATTTACTCAAGTGCTGTACTTAAGTACTTCATACTTTGACTTCGCTACACTTCAGAGAAAAATATTGTATGTAAAACTTATTAAATGTATTTGATACATTTAGTTACTAGTTACTTTTCTGAACATGATTAATAAAATAAAATGCAGTATAATCATAAGACTTTATTGATCCTTGATGTGAAATTCACAAGCTGCCCAGCTGTATGTAAAGTACTTCAAATTACTAGCATATATGTTAGTTAACATTTAGTGCTTTGCCAGCTGCGACATTGTGTGATGTAAACAATAATACATCAATAATTAATAACCCAATAATATGATGTACATTAAGGTGAAATGTAACCTTCTACATAATGAGTACTTTTGTTTTTGGTACTTTAAATATATATTTATGCTAATACATTTGTGCTTTTACTTAAGTAACATTTTGAATACAGGACTTTTACTTGTAATAGAGTATTTTTACACTGTGGTATTGCTACCGTTGCTTATGTAAACAGTCTGAGTACTTCCACCACAACTGTAAAATCTCTCTTTCTCTCTCTCGCTCTCTCTTTCTCTCTCTCTCTCTCTCTCTCTCTCTCTCTTTCTGTCTTCACAGAAGAGCCAAAGCTGGTACAACGTAAGTCATGCTTTTTATTTGCATTACTGACTTGTGTGATTTTGTACTTTGTCTCTTATGGGTGTATGTGTGTGCTTGTTTGTGTTCAAGTCATGTGAGTGATCCTACAAGTATCCAGTGGTTGGTTTGGTGATGAGTGCCGCTTACGAAATGAAAGTTTGTTGTCCTTGACCCTTTTTAATGGTTCACCAAATCATTAGGGTTACTAGTCATCCTGGTATGGATTAGCACGGGCTTAAAAGAGCAACAGGGCACCATTTTGATATAGGCAATCATTGGATTGGAAAGACTACAGCAGGACATTAAAGACAAGATATGAACCTTAAAAATGTAAAAAAAAAATAAAAAAAAGTATTGACTCAATAAAACCAGACTGAATATTGTTGTAGTTTTTTATTGCACCACAAGATGGTGTGCTAACACTATTTATGACTCCACCATAATGCTTTCACGTGTTATTTTGCTGAGTAACCCTTTAATAATTATTTTCGACCAACTTTTACACTATAAAGGTGTCTGTTGTGTTGATTAAGCCCAGGGAGTGTTGGATTCAGCCCCACTCAGTGTCAAGTCCCAGCTTGTGTAGAAGTGTTTGATCCTTCCCCATTGTGTGTTGTTTTATTTCTTTTTTCATTCCTTGTGTGTACACTGTTCCACTCTCTCCCCAGCATGAAAGACAACACATCCTGAGAGTAAGCATGACTTGTATTCTTGTACAACCCTGGATATCTTTCTGTCTCTTGCTCTGTCTTTTGGTTCTCAGCCTGGTGGGATGCTAAAATCACCTCCTGCCTGCCTTTTAATGATTCCATTGACTTCCCTCAGTGTTGTTACCACCCAATACCAAAGCCACGTTTTGAGGGAAGGGATTTAGACATGTTGAAGTAAATATACCACATCTTAAAACCCTAAAGGGTAAATACATAATGATTCCTGGCTAATGTACATGTTTACTGCATCAGAACTTGTATTAATGTATTTATATTTTGCCAGTTCCTGAGATGTGATCACATGTCTGTCACCACACAAACTTCTAATTCTGGTATGCAACAGGTGGTAACAAGCATACTGAGTTCTAAACAACAAGCCATCATAGGGGCCTCTGGATGAGCCCAGAATGCCTTTGAACAACATGAGACTGGAGCATGGCACTTGAGGTCTCAGCATGCTTCTCTCCACCATGACTCCGCTTTTCACATCCTAATAATAAGGGACACTGGGACACTTGAGTTTTATGGTGCAGGTATGACAATCAGAAGACAATACAGAGATGTCCTTACAGATTTTAAAGGACAACTGTTGTGTTCAAAGCAGGCTTTGTCCAAAACGTCCAGACATCTTCAGTGTTTCGCTAATGCTGCTCACATTTCCTCTTCTGACCTGCTGTTTGGAAATTAGCATAACAAGTAGCAATCTCAAGTTGATGCTGTGCTTATTTGTACCCTGTTAATATCTAACAGATGTCTAACAAATTATAAGCAGCACAGTATACTTCACATGTACAAGATAACATGACCACCTGCTCATCATCAAATACACTGCAAATCTATATTTCCCACAAGTGAGACCTAAAATCTTTAGTTTCCTAAAAGATAAAGATGGTGATATTCCAATTTTCAACAAATCCCACTGAAAGACGAAAACAAACAATGAACAAATCCCATTAACAAGTATTGCCTGTATGGACAAAGCCCCCTATCTTTGGTCTGTCTTAGTCCTTTGTGCCACAGAGCTCCATTGTTACCCATAAATTATGGAAACACACCAGTGAGCCACACGGTTGCACTGGGTGGCATGTTCCTTAAATACCACAAACATACACCTTGTAGTTTATTTTTGCCTCAGTCCCAGAAACCCTAGTAGATAAATACTTCCTACAGCATGTGTAACTAACCCACAGCTGAAAATAGTACCCAACAAACGCAGTAACTACTTGAGTTGGAGTAATGTCTGATAAATATAACAGTGCCCTGCTGCTGTAGCAGATGTCTTAGCCATTTCTGTTAAGTGACACTATGTATGTAATGTTTGCTGTAGAGCCACTGTGGCTACAAGTGTGAGATAATGGGAAATACTAAAATATAGTGTAACAGTTGTATTAGTAGAGAAGACTTTGTTGTTTGTTGCTTGTGAATTCAGCAAATGTTATATATTCTCACTGTAAGATGTGCTCTTTTTCTAAAGGTGTGTCCTCTGTAGGAATGAATGGGCTTGGAATGCGTTGTTGGTTTTGGTCTGTTCATGGGATTTGTTAACAATAAGAAAAACAACACCAGCCTTTTCCCAGGTGGGGAATAAAATCTGTTTCTAATGCAACTTGCTTTAAGAACTTTCTGAAATCAAGTGACTTTTCAGGACATGTGCTGTGAACTGCACTTGCAACTGGTGCAATTACAAAACCACACTGACCGACTTTATTTCTGTTTTTATGAAAAATAAGCGTTCAAATATTTAATATGAGACCAAATGGACTAATAGGAGAGTGACACAAACCGAAGCACTTTTTGAAGCTTTTAAATTAAATTTATTGTTCATGAAATGTCCTCTGCGTTCTAGCTGTGTTCCTGTTATCTCATACACTCATCCTTACTCATACAATAAATACAGAAGATCAGAGGTTAAGTGACTAAAGTCCAAGTATCTATTATACTTGGACTTCAGTTAGCTTTGACTCTACATGTACATGGTCACACCTATATGTAGGAGTGTGTATACCCATGAGTCTGTGTGTGTGCACCTCTACATGGCAATGATGACCTCCCATGGCACTGAGACACAATGATTAAAAATCCATCCGTCCTGATGTGAGTTCTGAGCCTGTTAGAGATATGCATATTGGCCATCTTTCCTCAACGGCCTTGTGAAAATGTCTTTTCAGTCACTTTGAATCTACAGTACGCAAGTTTGTTGTAGAAACCAGCTGCAGGGAATTAACAAGACAGAAGACGCCAACAGATAGTGCATGGATAAGTGAAATTAGGACTCAATGTGACCGGTGTGGTTCTGCGTTGCGTTGGTATGAATGATGACGTGACACCAGGATCTCTTTGGACTTCAATTGCCGTTTATTTTGACACTGACAATCTGATGATCATAAATGATAAATATAGACCTACATGTAAATGAGGTAACCGCTCCAACTACTACGGGAGTTAGCTTAAGCTAATAGCACTCGACTGTTAAACCTAAGTTCACAACTGCTCATTTTACAAAATGTTCATATTAGCAGGTAGAGATAAACATGTTAATAAAAGTGGGAGACCAAAAACTACACACAAAATAATAGAAACACTAGGATGCATAAGCTGAGTCACCAAAATGTTTAAGTCTGGATCTAGGTACCTCTAAAAGCAATTGGTTGGAATACCTAAGAGATCTACCAGGTGTGTGACACCCACCTCTCCCGCAGGACACGTGTACAAAATGGGAGAGGTGGAGGAGGTACCCTGTACCACAGAAGAAGAGATCCCAGACGAGGGACTTTGAGCTTGAACTTCCTCAGCAAAAACAAAAGACAGGTCCCATCAGGTATATGATATATTTACAACTTAAAGGTAGATTTTGTGATTAGATTATAACAGGTTATATATGACACAATCCATTCAGTTTGTTTAGACCCACATAGACAAATCCATCAGGCTTTTCACATTGTCTCACAAAGATTCACATGCACACATACCTGGCCTGAGAATCCAACCCTCACCCCCCCCTTAACACACTAAAACCCTACCCTGGTTTCCAGTACCAGTCTCCTCCATCCCCTACTGTTTGTCAAGAGAGTAAACAATTAACCAAACCCATAAACTCTGTATCCACCTCACCCTGAGTCTCAAACATCACCTGAACACTGCAGCAGCCTTTTCCTTTGCTTGATCTTTTGGAGAAAATGAATTAAATGAGCAAGAATTAAAGGATTACTCTGAAAAGATGCCACAAGTAATTCTAAGAACTGATTTGTCCTGGTGGCCTTTTTTAGCAGACGAACCCTCATTCCACTGAATTTCAATCACATGATGTAAAAGCATTCTCAGTGTAGGTGAATGCCTTCTTAGAACTGCGTGTGAGTGATCGGCACTGTTTTCTGAGAGGCTGCAGCTGAAGATTGTTTTCCACATTTCTTTTTTTCCCCCTGCTTCAGATTGTCTACACAGTCTTTGATGAAAGAACAGATTGGAAAGTTGGAAGTCATGGCTGAATTCCAGTGCACAAATATGGGCTACACGTTTGCTTCAGGCGTCAATAAAGTTCAAGCCATAGAAACATAAGTGTTTTTGTTTGTCTTTTTTTTTATTGCTACTAGGACCTCCATAGCCCACCTTCTTGACTCTTAAAAACACCAGTTGTGTTATCGGTGCAACTTGCATCTGGGATCTCTATATTATTTCTTGCTCGCTAACAATAACAGAACGTAGTCAAGTATCAGTGGCAGGTTAATCACCCCACTAGCAGGGCAGAGAGAAAGGAGGGCGTGCTTTCATATTGTCAGTACCATTGAATCATTGCTGCTGGATGCTTTTGACTGGTTGAAAAAGATAAGCAAAGAGATGTTTACAGAATGTTTGTCCAGCCACTTCACCCCACAATTTATGCTCTGGCCTGCGACTCAGCGCAGACCCTGTCAAGATTGATGGTGTTGTTTTGCAGGCGGAGGTAACTGGAGGTTATGCTCACATCTGTTCTCTGTAACTCAGTCACTTGGTCAGATAAAAAGACAAGCTCGACACATACTTCAACAGATTGAAGACATTCATTTCTCTTTTATTCAGCCCTGTTTTCTTTCTTCATCTAAGGTTCCTGCTTCTTAGCTACAGCTTTGTTTGAATTAGGCCTCCTCTCCACAAAGTAAACTTGCTTCATTCTTTCCTGGTCATAAACAGGGTAATTACAAAGCACTCAGACCTGGATACACACACACACACGCTCAGCTCACACACTGCTGGGAGGAGCAAACAGGGGAAAAAAGGAAAAGCTACTGGCATGATAATATAGGACTTGTTGGCCGGGGTTACTGTAGGGCAACGGCCGTAACTCCTCTCCCTGTGTGTGAGAAAGGAAGAGAGGGAGAGGCAGAGAATGACAGAGCGAGACAAGGATCATGTGGCCGGAGTGTGCCGTGCCCACCGCTCAACACTGAAAGGGAGCGGCACCCAATACAGGGGGTGGATACTGCAGCTTCCAAACCACTGGACCCACCAGCTCTGTCTATTTTTATTTTCCTACACTGACCGACAAGTGCTCCAACGTGGAGTCCACTGGGGCCGGTTGTGGAAACTGCTTCCATCCAGGCGCCAAAAAAAAAGGATCTGGCGCCATGAATATGGAGGACTGTACGATGTCAGACTGGGAGGCTATGCTGGAGCTAGATGAGGAATTGGCAGGGTGGCTTCTGCAGGGTCCAGCTAAAGGGCAGTGGGGTTGGGAGTGGGGCTGGGCTGCCTCAAACCCTCAAGACTCTGAGTGGGACACTGAAGAGATCCCCGCTGTAAGTTGTAAGCTCATAAGTAAGAGACAAACGGAGGAGGGTGAACAAAAAAATGTGGAAACTTGGAATTGGATAGATTTCATTAGTTCTAATAGGACAAAGCAGGGGGGCAACACAAAGCCTTTGTAGGAAGCTTTGTTTTTACCGTATCCTGCTGTAAGCATAATTCTGTGGTAATTCACTGCTACTAAAGAAAACAGTTGATTTTGGTTATGAGTCATAGCTATCTGAATTCTCCCGGAACTCGCAGAGACCTGTTTTTTGGAGCATCAGGTTATTGTGTGAGCGACTTGAAGTATTAACAGTGTATGTGAATTTGTTTGTGTTGGGACACATGAAAAGAAGCATCATGATGCTGTGTGCAGTTATGGCAGTTAAACTCTTTTCCAGGGCATTTAGGATGGACTTTCAGAGATGTCACACATGATTTCAGAGCAGCTTTTCTCATCACTGCACTCTTCTCAAAGGCAAGGAGATGCAGTAACAGTGTCTACACTTGTGACTTTTAATGTGAACAAGCTGTCCTTTTACCACTGTCCCTCATACAAAAGAATATATTGTTCCATTGTAACATATCTCTTGTTACTGTATTGCCAGCTATTGCTTCCTGGGGTTTTCCTGTTGAAGGAAAGCATCTGGCACAGACAGCTCATATTTGGAGATTTTAAACATCACATGTTCACTGTGCAAATAAACAAGACGGCTGAAGCCAAGCAAAGGAAAGTGTAGCCATATTAAACAGGATGTTCCTCCTAGTGCTGACAAGTTTTTGTTAGATCAGATTAATTAAACCACTGTGTACAGTTGTGTTTACTCTCGAGAGTTCATCAGCTGTCAGTCCCCTTGTCACTAAACAGAAAGCCCCAAAGTCAGAAACGTGCTGCTCTGTAATGTGACTCGTATATTAAATGCTCACAGTCATGGCAGCATGATCTGCAGCTTTTTGGGATTGCACTTTAAATCAGTCTGCAGTTACGTGTCATTAATGACTACAGATAATTTAGACTGCATACCTCTGCTTGTCCATTTACAGTACTTGTCCAAACCTCCCACAGAATGAAAGGGTATGAGTAGAGCAAACCAGACATCCTGATCAAACCTGTGGGTGGTTTTAACAAGGTTATCTTACATGCTCCTTGAAATAACACTTGTGAGTGAGTGAGTCAGAGAGCATGAAGAGTGAGTGAGTTTTGGAAGCGCGTGTGTGTGTGTGTGTGTGTGTAGTGTTGTTTCTGACTGTTTCTGTAACTGCAGGTGCTGAGCCCGACATACAAGCAGCGCAATGAGGACTTCAGGAAACTCTTCAAGCAGCTCCCTGACACAGAGAGACTCATTGTGGGTGAGTGGAACCCACAGAAACACTGGGGCCATCTGAGGACTGGCAGAGCGTCGCTAAGTTGTTAGAAATTAGAAAATGATTAACCCTTACAAAACCGAGAGGAGACACAAATATTGAACATTTCGAGTGTCTAACACTGTGACATGAAATTTAAATATGCTTATATTTTATTTGCTGACAATGTAAGAAAATACTCCACAGCTTTCACACACAAGGAACTTTTACCCTGATGAATGAAGTTTAGTTTGTTGTTGTGTGATTTTCCCAACTCTTCAGTGAGTACAGTCATTGCCTAAAATGCTCTAAAGCTGAAACTCGAGGGTAAAGTTGACCTCACAGTGCGACATCATTTTTGTTTTGGTTTGGTAGGGATGAGTTCATGTACAATAAACACATCCTGCAGCAAGGTTTCTTTGTGACAGTGAATGAGCACTGTCGTATACAATATTAATTTAAATGATTTTGATTCGATATTAGCATGTTGTTAGACTACTACGCTATTAAATCATTTATCATGGCGTGTAATTTGCAATATTGCATCATACTTAATGTGTGTGGTGTTTTTCCTCTGACTTTGTGTCTTCTCTGTCTGTCAGACTACTCCTGCGCGCTTCAACGGGACATCCTCCTTCAAGGACGACTCTACCTCTCTGAGAACTGGATCTGTTTCTATAGCAACATCTTCCGCTGGGAAACACTGGTGTGTTTGTTCATGCTTCTCTGCATTCCCTTTTTTTTTTTTTTTTTTTTTTTTTTTTTTTTTTTTTTATATATTATCAATACTGGGTCATACTTGGAGCTACAACATGCGTATGCGTATCTGTGCATTTGTGTGTTTGCATTTAGCTGACAGTGCGGCTAATAAAAGACATCTGCTCAATGAAGAAAGAAAAAACCGCCCGCCTCATTCCCAATGCCATCCAGGTCTGCACAGACACTGAAAAGGTAAAAGATACAGAAACAGTCAAGGCATTTTCATTGGTAGAAACATAGATGGGTTAGTAACTAATGTGGGTATACCTAAGACTGAACTGTGAATGTTTTAAATGTAATTATATAAACAGGGACACCAGGGAGGCCTTGAGGAGTAATGTCTGACTGGGAAGGAAGAGTGGTGATTTGATCTTTATTGTCAACAGGAGGGACATGTGGAGAATGTTTGGCAAGCTGTTAAAATCCACTATCACTGCCAAAATATGTCACTACAAATTCAAATAATCCCAGACTAGGAAGGGTTTAAACCGTGCTCCTCAAAATGTGCCTTTAATTTTCACAGTTAGTGTTATTTTTGGTTTTGTTTACTTGAGCTCGCACATGATTGCCTTTGATTCTTCACAGCACTTTTTCACTTCATTTGGAGCAAGAGACAGGACATACATGATGATGTTCAGATTGTGGCAGAATGCGCTGCTGGACAAGGTGGGCATTTTGCTTTTGCTGACATTTATCTGAAGCACAGAGTTCTTGTACATTTGCATCACATAGGTTGTAAAGGAATACCTCAAACCGCTCTCCAAACCATTCGCACCAAGTTTACTCTGTAGTATTTTTGAGTCTTCTCATTTCTTACTTTGATTGGTTGATGCTTTTTTGCAGCCCCTGTGCCCCAAAGAACTGTGGCACTTTGTTCATCAGTGCTATGGCAACGAGCTCGGCCTAACCAGTGACGATGAGGACTATGTACCCCCTGATGATGACTTCAACACCATGGGGTGAGTGTGGTTATGATGCAGCTTCTATTACTGTGGTTACACAGTAATAAATGTTGCCCCTCCCATCATAGCCGCTTTTCTAGTGACGAATTAAACTACAGATGCCTGGTTGCGACAAACTGTACAAAAGTTAGTCTCTAGTTCAAAGCTAGCATTAGTGGACGAATGAGTAAATTTGGCAGTCTATTAGAATGCTCTGGTTACTGCTAATGTGACACAGAGCACTAATGTTACACTAAGCTTGGATTATTCTGAAATTAAAGTTATATTGATTCAATACAAAGGTAAAATCAAGGCCACACTAGGTTGCTAATGTTATCAAAACAAACACAGTAGTTTTAGATATGAGCACATCCAGAGAATTAATCTGAATTAAATTTGAGTCCTTTGGCTGCTTTTAACCCTCTCCATCTCAAAAGGTCGAGCTGATGTTAACCCTGATTTTTGCTCTTTCTTTGTCCAACTCTCTCTGTGCAAAAAAAAAAAAAAAACATGACCTCCTTGAACTGGCATTCACTGTTTTGGACTTTTAGCTGCCAAGAGGTCCTTCATGGCTGAGTGTTTGCAATGACTATTCATGATTCGACAAACCTGTCTTATAATCTTTGCTAGGTGGCAGGCGGTGCTAATTTATAGACCAAACACAGGATAAGGAAGCGGGAATAACAACAGAAGGAGAGTGTCATGGCGGGGAATAGTATAGCAGAGAGACCCCACAGCCTGTCTCATTTTCACTTGATTTATCAGACAATGTGTAAGATTTTAGTTAATGTACCTTTTATTTATATGTGGTCAGAAACATTAGCATAATCTTTTGTCTAGATCCAGCAGTTCGTACAGGTCATACAAGCTGAGAGAAAAGATTTACTTCAAAGGCTGGATGAAGGGCAAACAAGATGCTACATAACAGTGCTAATTATTACTTTGTCAATGAGATATCATCATACACCCCCTTTACAATGGGTTTGATGTTCTTCTATCTGCACTCAAATTCGTAAGCACGCAAGTATACTAAGCCATTTTTTGCTGTGAGTGTGCAAACACCCTGATATCAGATGTGCTTTACCATGTAAAACACTGCCCACCAAGTCTAAGAAAGCCAAATCACACTATAAGAAGTATGCAAACAGTACTTGATACATGTTTTACAAGACCCTCCTGCAGAGTGACAAATGGGTGAGTAGAGGTCTTCTCGCTGTTCTCTGGTGCCTTTAGGTTCAGTGAAGAGATTCCCAATGAAGAGAATGAGATCAACAATGACAACTTGTCTAAGAGCACTGCCGAGGCCAAGTCTGAAGGGAGCCCTCCTCTGTTACATAAGAAAGTCATACCCAACAACACCATCCCCACCTCAGGCAACCATGACACACCTATTACAGTAAGTTGTAAATGGTAAATACTGTTAATTAGCATATACACATTTACACTGCTGGAACCAAAGACCAAATAAAGTACAGCATGTCTGTGGGTCAGAAAAACTCCCAGGGCATTCGCTTGACAATATTTAACAGTGAAACATTATTGAGATGATTGTTGCCTTGTTTCTTCTTTTCCCCAGTTTGACCTCCCTGCAGAGGAGTTTGCAGACTGTCTACCAGACAGCCAGCTGCTTGCTGTGCCACTGGTGGTGGAAGAGAAGAACAGTGATACCAGCGGGCCTGGTGGTCCTGTGCCCTCACCCTCACTTGACTTGAATGACAATGAGGACATCCCCACTGAGCTCAGTGACTCCTCAGAAACCCATGACGAAGGTAACTGCACAGAACCTTTCTCATAAAATACATAATCTAATGAAAGGTCTGCTCTTTTATTGATAACAGGATCATGTAGATAATGCCAGTGTCAAGGGTCAAAAACAAACAAGAGGAGGCATCTCTGATTTTTATCTGTTGTCTTTGTCCCTCTCTGATGTGTAGGTGAAGTACAGGCCTTCCATGAGGATCTGAATGGCAGGCAGCACATCAACGAGGTCTACAAGTTCAGTGTAGACAAACTCTATGACATCCTTTTTACAGAGTCGCAGTTCATGAGTGACTTCATGGAACAGAGGCGATTCACAGGTCTCTGTTTCTAACGCCCCTACACCTGACCTTCCTGGACATAGTGTAAACCAAAAATGCGCAGTGTCGATTCATTCATTTATGACTCTCTCATCATTTTGTGGTTTAGATGTGGTCTACCGCCCATGGAAGAAGGAGGAGGCTGGGAACCAGACCAGAGAAATCATGTATACGATCTCTCTGTCCAACCCCCTGGCCCCCAAAACTGCCACAGTCACCGAGACACAGGTACAGTCAAATCTATATGTGAAACATCTTATTTTTCACACTGCTTAAAGGATAAGGCCAGTCATTTTTTATATTGATGGTGTTTTCAGCTATCTCCATACAAAGAATAAAACCAACAATGAATTGCCTCTATTCATGGTTAATGTCTGTCAGCTGTCTGTCCTGGAATAGCTTGTTCATCTGTGCGATAGATCTTTGTTGTTGTTCAAAAGTGATTAAGAGCACATCAGGGAAACACATTGCTGTAGTGGGTGGCACATTTTTTTGTAACAAAGCAACTATGTTACCTCAAAGCCTCCATGCAGCCAAAATTTCCTGCGGTTAGTATGAGTCAGAGTCAACTGCACATGTGTAAGACTGTGCAAGCTCTCAGCTTTGTTTACATTCCACTAGCTCCTCGTGCTCAAGTCCAGGGTTTGCTAATGAAGAAATATGTCACCCAGCGCAGTGATGTGTTTCACTGATGTGTTTTTAATTGTTTCAACAACAATGGAGATCTATGGCACAGATGAATAAGCTGATCCAGGACTGACACACTGACGGACATTAACCGTGAGGAGAAGCAAGTTGTTGACGGTTTTCATTTTTGTATGGAGATTGCTGAAAATACTATTAATATAGAAAATGACCGGTCTTGTTCTTTAAAAGCTTGTGTGACTTAAAGACACTTTCCTTCCTTTTTCAGACTCTGTACAAAGCCAGTCAGGAGAGTGAGTGTTACATAATCGACGCGGAAGTCATCACACATGACGTGCCCTATCATGATTACTTCTACACTCTCAACCGCTACATGCTCACCAGGGTGGCCAAAAACCAGTGTCGGTTACGGTGAGTAAGACATGGTCAGGATCTCACAGTGCAAAATGTCATTTCAAATTAAATAGAATTCTTTTTATCACATCTTTTATTTTGGATTGTTTTTGTTGTTTGCTTTTGAATGTGTCCTCAGTTTAATGCTTTGCCATTCCAGTTGTTATGCCTTATTGTAAAAGACTGTACTGTACTGATAAGTCTAGATGTATTTCTGTCTGTGTCTCAGGGTATCCACAGAGCTACGCTACAGGAAGCAGCCGTGGGGGCTGGTGAAAGGCTTCATAGAGAAAAACTTCTGGAGTGGGCTGGAAGAGAACTTCCGCCTTCTTGGTAAGCTATGACATTCTCATCAGCTGTTTAATCACTAACCCTTTAAATGAGGCTGTTGGAGTTATTGTTAAATGTGAGTGAATAAGATTTACCAGTAGAGAATCTCAGGATGAATGAATGCTTTCTTCCTACAGTGTTGTTCAACTGGTTAACATAATGAAATATTCAAGAAGGACTACATTATTTTATTTGCAGAAACTTTACATTTGAATTACACAGAACTAGAGCTTCAGGTGGCAATGAACAGGCTGATCAAGGACTGTTGTGTTATGTTTTTCACCGAGACCTGGCTTGATTCATCTATACCGGATGCGGCTATCGAGCTAGTAGGCCACACTGTACATCGTCATGACAGGAATGGGGACTCTGGTAAGAGCAAAGGGGGACTATGCATATATGTGAATAATTACTGGTGTAGCAACTTGAAGATGGTTGCCAGTCACTGCTCCCCGGATGTGGAGTATATGACGGTTAAATGTAGACCTATTTATCTTCCAAGAGAGTTCACTGCTGTCATGGCAACTGCTGTGTATATACCACCTGATGCTAGTGCTAATTTGGCACTGGGACTTTTGCATAGCATGATTAGCAGCAGCCAAGATAAGTATCCCAAGGCTGTGCATATTATTGCCGGGGATTTTAATCATGCTGAGTTAAAAACTGTGCTGCCTAAGCTTTATCAGCATGTGAAATGTACCACCAGAAGAGATAGGACATTAGACAAGGTCTATTCTAATATAAAACATGGCTACAGAGCTATACAGCTCCCACATCTGGGTCAGTCAGATCATATGTCCTTGTTTCTAGCACCAGCATATACCCCCCTCAGGAAACAGGCTCTTACCAAAATAATGCCTGTCAAAATTTGGCCCGTGGGTGCCTCCCATCAGCTGCAAGACTGTTTTCAGAGAACCAATTGGGACATTTTTGACCATCCAGACCTGGAGGAGCATACGGTGGCAGTCCTGTGCTACATTAAATATTGCATAGATTCTGTTACTGTGGACAAGCGCATCCGGGTTTGTTCCAACCAAAAACCCTGGATGACTAGAGAGGTTCGACGATTGTTACGGGAGAGGAATATAGCCTTTAGGTCTGGCGATATGAATTCATACAGCTTTGCCAGAGCTAATCTGAGGAGAGGTATCCGGCGGGCCAAACTGCATTACAAACAGAGGATTGAGGATAATATTAGTACAAACAATACGCGGCAGGTGTGGCAGGGGATTCAGCATTTAACTAATCATAGATCACATCTTGCTGCGACAAGGACCCTTCACTGGCAGAGGAGTTGAACCTCTTCTTCACCCGTTTTGAGGTGGAGCCACCAGAGACAGCTGTATTACAGCTATCAGCCCACAGCGGCCCCTCCCATAGGGTGGAGGAGTATGAGGTGAGGCGCACGCTGAGGTCTGTGAATCCGAGGAAGGCTGCTGGACCTGATGGCATCGCTGGTCGGGTGCTGAAGGACTGCGCAGATCAATTGGCGGGGGTCTTCACCAAGATCTTCAATCAGTCCTTACACCAGTCTATTGTCCCACCTTGCCTCAAGTCTTCAACCATTGTCCCTCTGCCCAAAAAATCTACAAGCACCAGCCCTAAGGATTATAGACCAGTCGCACTCACCCCGGTTATCATGAAGTGTTTTGAGAAACTGGTACGCAGTCATATCACCTCATGTCTTCCATCTACACTGGATAGCCACCAGTTTGCATACCGGGCAAATAGATCTACAGAGGACGCTATTAACACCACTCTCCATACTGCTCTGTCTCATTTGGAGCAGCCGGGGAGCTATGTGAGGCTGCTGTTTGTGGGTTTTAGTTCCGCTTTTAACACCATCCTCCCTCACAGACTAGTGTCCAAACTACAGGCTCTTGGACTTTCCAGCTCCATATGCCTTTGGATTTTGGATTTTTTGACTGCCCGCCCGCAGAGGGTTAGAGTAGGTTCTTATATGTCGACTGTCCTCACCCTCAGTACCGGCTCCCCACAGGGCTGTGTGCTGAGTCCCCTGCTCTATACCCTCTATACACAAGACTGTACCCCTACCCACCCCAGCAATACCATCATTAAGTTCGCTGATGACACTACTGTGGTGGGGCTTATCTCAAGGAACGATGAGTCCGCCTACAGGGATGAGGTAGAGCGGCTTTGTGGCTGGTGTCGGGAAAACAACTTGATCCTCAACACCGCCAAGACCAAGGAACTGGTAGTGGACTTTAGGAGGAATAAAACGGACATTAAGCCACTGTTCATCGACGGAGATCAGGTGGAGAGGGTGGCCGTTTTTAGGTTCTTGGGTGTTACCTTTGAGCAGCACCTGACTTGGGGCGCAAATACCACTGCTTTGGTGAAGAAGGCCCAGCAGAGATTGTATTTTCTCAGTCTTTTGAAGAAAAACAATCTGAATGAGAAACTGCTGGTGTCCTTCTGTCACTGCTCAATAGAGAGCATTTTAATATACTGTGTCTGTGCCTGGTTCGCCAGTTGCACAGCTGCAGACAGGAGAGCGCTCCAGAGGGTTATTACCAGAGCCCAGAAGATTATCGGTTGCCCCCTACCATCTCTGGAAGAACTGTACAGTTCCCGTTGCTTGAAAAAAGCACAAAACATTCTGCAGGACCCATCACACCCTGAACACTGTCTGTTTGAACTGCTGCCTTCGGGGAGAAGATACAGAACAATTATAGCAAGGACAAACAGATTAAGAAACAGTTTTTATCCGAGAGCTATTGTTGCTTTAAATGCTGCTAAAATCTTAAAATTTGAATGATCGATGGGATTTTACGGGAACTGTGCAATAGTCAGATGTGTATGGATGCAAGTGTGTAAATTTGTTGGGTTTTATTGTTTATGATTATTTTTTATCATCGAAGGATTGCATTTTTAATTTCGTTGTACAAATGTACAATGACAATCAAGTTTAAGTAAGATTCAGTAGTATTTATAGTAGTATTAAAGACAGAAAAGGTTAAAATAATCAAGATGGCATGTTATGTGAATTTCTAACAGTGCTCCTCTTCCCCTCTCAGAGCTGGAATTATCCAAACTGGAGGAGATACTGAATGAATCCCACCGGCTGTCTCCAAAGACAAAGGTGGTGAAAAATGCCACTGTGAGGCGGAAGAAGAGGCCACTCCCCCACATGCGCAGCCAGCATCTGGATGAGGCCCTCAGCCCTGTTACCACGCCGACAGATGAGGAAGTGATTCAGAGGATCAAACAAGTGGCAGGCTCCACACAAACCAGATTCCAGAGTTCAGAAATCCATTATCTGCCCGGAGGCCTTGCTCTGTACAGCGTCTCCAAACTGCTGCTCATCATCAGCTTTGTGTATGCAACTGATTACAAAACACACCAACGCAAGTGTATACAGGGATTCCTGAATATCTGGCCAATGTGATGCCAATACAAATTCAACTCAGGGTGACATAACACAGTCATACACATGGTTGTGTTACAAGTTAAAATTTCTCTGTGTCATGATTTCATTCATTTTTCTTCTAGGCTCCATAGAGTTTTTGTCTGATGTATTGGTTTATTTGAAAATAACCTTTACAAATACAGCATCTCATTGTTGTTCTTTTGAGTGTAACCCCTCTCTCGTCTCCTTTCATTGCCATCCATAGGATCTGTCTAAGGTACATATATTATCTGATTGACCAGCATAACCAGATGCATATATTTACAAAGTATTCCCATTACAATTTGAATGTAATTTTCAAAGGGAATGAGTCTTTTGTTGACTTTGTTTGTTCCTTTCTCTCTTACCCTCCTTCAGCCTGGTCCTGCTAGTGTTCCTCAACATGATACTCTTCTACAAGCTGTGGATGCTGGAGTACTCTACACAGTCCTTAACAACCTGGCAAGGTCTGCGGCTTCATGAAAGGTACGCGCACAGATGGACATTCTACACAATTTCTGTTGTCTATTATTTATATATATTTATACACAAATCCTCTGTTCTAAAGTTTCAACATGGCTAATGGACTTTTGAGGGTTCTGAGTGAACCAAACATTATCTATCACTGTGGAGATGATACTGAATGGAGTTCTGCTGTACTTATTTGGCTGTTTGCCCACACGGCTGTCACACACAAATGTACACCTACAGTTACCCACATGCACTGTTATGCTACACACTTGATGTGAAAATCTAAACTTTTAAACTCACCCTTGAATAGCTCTGGGTTAACTGGAACAGTTTACTCTACCAGACTGTTTGTTGCAAGTCCCTCAGAATGGAATTCATGCTTCAGCAGCTGCACCCTGATGTTGCTAATGTCTCTGTATGTGTGTGTGTGTGTGTGTGTGTGTGTGTGTGTTTCCCAGTAAACTGCCTGAGACACAGATGGAGTGGGCCCAGCTCCTGGAGGCGCAGCAGCGTTACCATGACGCCGAGCTGCAGAAGTGGAAGGAGATTATCAAGTCATCAGTAGTGCTGCTAGACCAGGTACTTGGACACAAAGAGACATTTTCAAAATCATGTCAAACTGTGATGTGATATGTGATGGCAGTGATGTTCCCAAAACATTAGCTTTTATTTTGGGCTGTAGGTAGACACTGCATATGTGTACTGTATGTAGTTGTGTGCTGCCATTAATTGTCTGGACAGGAATAGAAAAATACTGTTAGTACCACAGCTAACACTAGCTAGCTCGTTTGTCCATAATTTCACTAAACCTGGACTACTGGATATAGAGAATGTGAAGTTGACGTCATGTCGTGTTGAATTTTGGGTAAATGTGCCATGTTTGGAGCATCACCCTCATTATCAGTCACAGATATACTGTATACACTACATACATCTATAAGTAAAAATACTATCCCATACAGGTACATACAGTCGCAGATGCTCCATTCATGTTCAAACATCCACTTTAGTGTTCAGTTTGAGCACAGATGGAAAAGAAATTGATTCATCTGCAGTGTTTGTTTCATTTGTTGACAGCGTTAGCTCCTGAATCAAGAGCACAGATCAGTGTGCAGTCATTTTTAAGTCTGTTATGCTCATCAACAGGATCTCCAGGTCTGCTCCAAGTTAGCTAGAGTTAGCTAAGGTTATCCATCTTGAATTACCACAGTCATTAAAGTGAGATCTAATAAAAACAATACAAGAATGTATGCAGGTAAATACAGCACGTACCTCTGAAAGTGGCATTCCCGCCGCAACATTGAACATGTCATGATGTACCTTAACATTCTCTATGGCAAATGGAATCATACAGTATGATGTACAAAGCCTGTTACAACAGATATTTTTAAAAATCACTCTGTAAAGTGCATTATGTTGCCTATTACTGTGACCATGTAGTTGCAGTGTGCCCTGTTATAATTAAGCAAGGTGAAAGTAAGTGTAGTTAGTTATATATGCAGTACATGAAGCATACATCTGTGTAATTTTGTCTTTAATAAACAAGCTAACATGTTCTTTTTTCTTTTTTTTCCTCTTGTTTTTCTTTGTTAGATGAAAGATTCTTTATTGAACCTCCAGCGAGGCATTGGTTTAAGGGACTACACCCCAGAGACTGAGGAAAAGAGAAGTCGCTATCATTGACACAACAGGGCAAGGCCATGAGGGCATGCTGTGCAATATAGGACCCATTTTATTTGTGAACCAGTATGCACTGCAACAGCAAGACATAGAGAGAGGACAGAGGGGAAGGCCGGGCCAACAGCAAGCTGGTCCAGCAGAGAGAAAGAGAGGAACAGTCATCTCCAGCGCACAAGGAGGAAATCATGGACAGAAAGTGCCCCTATCACACACACACAGGAACTGAGGTATCCCCAACATCACTGAGGCATTGCAGGGAGGTGCGAGACTTGGTGCACCTCCACTACAACTATAGGAGAACTGTTTCCTTCTATTCTCTTTCTCTCCAAACGCATCCTACTGTAAGCCATGTTGAACAGGGGAGTGGCAGAGAGAAAGAAGGAAAACTACTGCATGCATTAAGACAACCTAGCTCCCCTCAGTCAGTGTTAATGTGGTTCAGTTCCAGTCTATGTGTGTCAATAACAACAAAAAATAGAAAAAGAGGAGAGAAGGAGTCAAAGGAGGGGGGGAGGGTCTTTCCGAGACTTAATGGCTTTCTATACTCTCTTGACTGTTCCATACCAATCATCCCCTTGAGGTCCTCGCTGCAGTGTCCCTTTAAAAAGCCTCCAGGTGATCAGAGAAGCAGTATCATCCCACAACCAAAAAGGAGAAGAAGTAGTGTAGTTGGAAGCTCCTTGCCTTGTTTGACCCGGGAGTATACAATTACTGTCAGGGCTGGTTCCCTGTCGTACCATTGTGTTGAACTATTTACAGGTAGGGTCTAAAGAATGAAAACACCTAAGCCAGTATTTTTAACCTTACATGCAAGTAAATGATTGGTAGCCCCTGCCACACTGACAGCTACCTTACATTGCATCGTTCCCCTTCCTTCTAATGAAGTAGAATGTATTAGCCTGACAAAAAGGCTGGACTTTGATCACAAATTATTAATCTTTGAAAAAAGGGATGCTGCAGCCAGACCAGTACAGAGATCTGTGTTCTTACATGTTTTATTACTAAACTGTGACTATAACTCTTTAAAAATGTTTCAAATTAGAAAGAGTTCTATGAATATATTTGAAATATATAAGAATATTTCATTTAATATATATTTCAAAATATATAAACATTACCTATATTTATTGTTAATTTATGTATATATAAAAATGATCAGAGTTCTAGACCAGTTAAAGAATTTCTAACTAAAGGTGTTTTCTTCTAAAAGTGCATGCCAGATATGTCTGTGACATGTCCAGTGTGCAAGTATGATTCTGCATTCGCGCGATTATATTCGCGCACTTGTGTGACTGTGTGCCTGTATGAGAGTGCGTGCATGCGTGCGTGTGCGCACAAGTGCGTACTGTATCGGTGACATTTTTACCATTCCACACTTGTATGTTTCTTAATGTTTTCTTTTCTGGCTCCTGCAGCCAGACTGCCTTTTTTTAATGCTAATGCGTTTGGATGCTGCCTTGCATTAGCCCCACCAGGGTACAGTTTACAATTGATGAGTTTGTTCCAAAATGAAATATCTGGCATTTGAAAAAAGTTACACCCATTTTTCCAGTTTTGTTTTATTGTTTGAACTAAACACTGATTTCACATTTTGACACATACTGAATCCATAGTTGACAGAGGTTTTAGTCTGAAAGATGAACTTAATGATTTTTCTTTTGTAAATGATTGACGTCATTTTGGAGATTAATTCTTTATCTGTCCCCTGTGAGCAACTCTTTGTCCATGTTACCACACTAGTAGCTAGACTACTCTTTACTAAAATGGAAATGTACTCATTTGCTTTCTTGCTGAAATTTACATGAGAAGATTAATACCACTTTCTTACATTAAATATAAACCAGCAACTAGTTAGCTAGTTTCACAAGTTGTTTCCCCTTTTCCAGTCTTTACGCTAACATAGTTTAGCGTAAACACTACAAATTGAAGAAAACAGCTAGCCAAGCAGCTAGTTCTAGCAGCTTCTTCTTCTCCTTGTTCAGCTAGCAGCTAGCTAGTTATTTATCGTCTGTATTCTACAATGCTACCTGGCCCCTGGCTCTAGCTTCATGTTTGTGAATTAGGATTACATTCAATGACAAGAAATCACTTTATTCTGCAGCCTTCATCAGGGTCACAATCGCATAGTACAACTGATTCTTTAAACATTACACACACGAGAATCTTCTTGAGTTAATTAGGCTGTACCTGGTTGACTAATCATGGACAGAACAAGACGAGTTCTTTCAACACAGGTAAAAGTGACAATATATTCAAATCCATGTAAAGCCAAACAGCGGGCTTTCTCAAATAACTGTATTGTCATCTTTACCTATAAATAAGGTGACTTCTTGCCAATGAGTTTGATCCAAATTTATGATTATTAGTTAATACTACTGGGATTATATGTACATACATACGTGTGTGTGCATATATATACATACAGTATACTGTATATTTATGTGTAGTCTTTTCATTGTCAACTGTCAGCAAAAAGCAAAATAGTGTATTTCATAAAACGTAAAAATGTCTGTCTTGGATGGAATATAAGCATGAGAATTAACTTTATGCATCCAAATAGAACCAAAAGAAAGGAGCAGAAAAGAGAAAAGTACCTTTATGTTATTTTAAAAGAAGTATTTAATGTGTATGTTATGTATTTTTAGCAGGCAGACTTAAGTGATGAAAGCACATCCAAATAAGAAATCCCTCGGTGTGTAAAAAGAAGAAAAGGTGAAGCACTTTAAGGCCTTTTCAGATAAAGAATGAGAATGAGAAACAGCAGCAGTTTAGTTTGGAGGTGAATGCAGGGCTGAGGAAATTGTTTCACCAGTATGTCTCATTTAATTTAATAACCACACCGGTGATTCACAACATTCAAACTCAGTTTTAAAGAAGCTGGATTTTAATCCTACTGATTTGTTACTGCTCAAAATAGTGTTACTTTTGGTCAGATAGGACATTTTTGAGGTGATCACATGTGAAGCTTTCAAGCCCATCTCAAGCAGAACAAGTCCAACCTGACATTTTTCTTGTCTATTTCAGGGAGCGAGAATGAGTGGTCTGTATGAGGGGAAGGTGTCTGTACTGTGTGCCTGCGTGGCGTGTTAGTGAAAACAAAAAACTTCAGGATTGGACCCCTGCTGTGTGTGCGTATTGAAGGCACTGAGTAATAATAGCACAAGGAACCCTTTAGAATGTCTAGTTGGAAATGTTTTCTGTTTTATAGAAATAATTTTCACAATCCTGTTGACACTGAAAGATTATAGTAAAGTTATGCGTTATGTATAGTTGTTTCATAAAGTATCCAGACCCCTTTGCTTTTTGAGCACTAGATCGAACACTAGATTTCATTTTAGATAGGTAAAATTGCCATAATGACAAGTGAAAACATGATTTTCTGAATATCAAAAACTGAAATCTTTTATTTGCAAAAGTATTCAGAGGCTTTGCTGTGTCCAGGTGCATCTTGTTTGCGTTACTTTTACTTGAAATGTCTGGAACTTGGAGTTTACTTGTGTAAAATTGAATTGATTGGGCATAGTTAAAAAGGTACACAGCTGTGCATGTATATAAAGTCCCTCAGTATAAATATAAATAAAAAAAACATTTCTAAAGCTTTAAGTGTTCACAGGAGTGCTGTGGCCCTAATAGTTGTGAAATGGAGGAAGTTTGGAATCACCAGGGCTGAGTAACCTAAAAAAAGGGCCTTGACTAGGGAGTTGACCAACAGTCACTCTAACAGAGCTTCAGCCGTCCAGTACATAGATGAGAGATCCTGCCATCTCAGCAGCTCCATCAGTAAGTCCTTTATGGTAGCGTGGCTAGACAAAAGCCACTTCAAGTAAAAGGCATATGAAAGGCCACGTTGAGTTTGTCAAACGGTATTTAAAAGGACTTGGGGAGCACGAGAAAAAAGACTCGAGATCTGATGACACAAAAACTGAACTCTTTGAGCAGAACTCCAAGCACTGTATCTGGCAACCACCAGGAACTGCTCATCACCTGGACAATACCACCCCTACAATGAAGCATGGTGGTGGAAGGAGAATGCTATGGGTGTGCTTCTCAACAGCAGGGGCAGGGAAGCTGATTAGGAATGAGGGAAGGATAAATGCAGCCAAAAACAGCGAGGTTCTTCAAGAAAACCTACCCCAGAGTTCATGCAGCCTGAGACTAGGGCAATGGTTCACCTGACCTGAAGCCAAGGCAAATACTGTAGTGCCTTCAGGTCAAGTAAGTGTCCTGGAGTGGCCCAGCAAAACCCCATATATGGAACATCTGTGGGGAGACCTGAAGCTATAGTTGACAGATGCTTCCAATCCAATCTGACAGAGCTTGAGAGGATCTTCCAGGAGGAATTGGATAAACTGTCTAAATCCTTAGGCATGAAGACTTGCAGCTTTATTCGTTTTTAAATTACCAATTTCAGTTTTTGATTATTCAAAAATTTGCAAAGTTTGTTTTAGTTGTATAGCACCAAATCACAACAAAAATCATCCCACATATTACATATAGAAAAACCCAACAAATCCCCCTGGCCACTTGGGTTAATGAGTGTGGATTGATGGGCAAAAATTATTCTTTTATCAATTTGAAATTAAAGCTACAACAGAATAAAGTACAAAAGGTTGAGGGATCTGAAGTAAATGATGGTACAGAAATGTTATATTTATGAAAATGTGATTGAAATGCTTTAAAGAGTTTTTTTTAAGCATATGCTGACATTGTTTTATTTTGTTTTCTTCTTTTCCAAAAGCCTGAATCACCCTTTTTTGTCAAAAAAAATGCAAGCATTCCCAGCTGTTTAGAAGATGACATGGTAAATGCTTGATTAAGTTAGTTTTGATTGCAAACTTTGGTTTTACTGACACCTGATTTTACTCTTCAAGGATGAGTCAAACAGGTTATCTTAACAAGTCTGCAAATTAGGTCTGGTGCTTTCACCGTCATCGTTCCTTTCACTCACTCCATTCTTTTCATTGTTGTCAAATTTGGCTTTGTTTTCAAGCCTTACCTCTGTAGTATGCACCCACAGGTGTCTGCATTACAACTAATGAATTATACACTTCATTAACTATATTAATTGGCATTTGCCTTGCAGTCACAGACAGAGCGAAACATTAGTAAAGACATCAGTGCCACCCATACAACATACAGTACAGTACTAACTAGCAGCCTTGGGTAATACATGATAATCACATGCAAGCTCCTGGAAGTGACCACTGATGTAACTCATAGCAAATGCTCTTCGTTGAGTGTATCTTGATTTAAAAAAAAAGATGTGTAGTTCTGTTCAAAAAAAAACTGCTGTCTTTTTTTTAGTAACTGTTTTGATCTCTAGAGAGACTTTTAGTCAAATTTATACATGAGATAAATATACTGTAAGCATACGGTGTGTGTGTATCTGCATTGTGCGCACACACACTGACAAAAGAATCCAACCTGCGCTGTGCGTGGGTTTTGACTTGCCGAAGACTTTGCCTCATACAGACTGAAGATAAAAGTGGCTTTTTGGTTCTTGTGAAGTAGAGTTTGGAAGTATGAATAAAAAAAATGACCAAACAGTGTTTCTGTTTTTGGAACTATTGCTTTATTTATACTTTACTTTGACAAATCATACTTCATTCATAAAACTTGTGACTTAATCTCAGTTTTCCTTACAGTAAACATGGATTTTATTTTTAAATATCCGGTATGTTTGACCTTGGAAGTAATACAGAGGAAGATTACATCAGGCACCATGATGAAATATTCACCTGCTACTGCACTTTCAAAACTAAAGTAAACTCAAAAGACCTTTGGTGAAAGGATTGTTCCTTTGGGAGCTGTATCTACAGTACAGCTACTATGTTGAGAGCAGCTTGTACATAGGGTCCCTAGGAGTCCCTGATGTCTCACTTTAATTACTGTTGCATTCATTGCCCATGAATTAGCCTAGGACTGGCTCTAAACTTAGGTGAAAGCGATGATGATGTTGCTGGTGCATTTTCTCCATTTTTGCACAAATATAATATTAATGTTCCAAACCTAGTTTATCCAGTGCCTTGTTTCTAAATCAGGTTCTGTCTGCTGCTTTGGTTTTTCCATGTTTCCGGTTTTCCCTATCATGGTGTTCAACATTCTTCAAGCTGTAGACATGCAGGCACACCAGTGAGCTGGAGATTATTAAAGAAATGGTTCTTAAATAATCATGCTTACAATAATTGTGTTGTAAACAAAATGCGGTATTTATACAAATACAAATAATGTCTCCACTGTCTCTGCTGTGCCATGAATTATCATACTAATATATTTATTTTAATTAGGTGATTACAAAATTTTAATCTTATGTTGTAATTCATGCACTGCATTTTGTCAAAGTGCTGGATTCATTTTTGCAGCTTTCTTCACCAGGTGTTTTAGATTGTTTTATTCGTTTCTTTGCTGCTAATTGTTTCAGCATATTAAATCGGTATTTTACTGCACTCCCAGAAATAGCCGTCCCCGGAAGTGGGCCCATTAGTCCCAGGCCAGGATGAGTATATGGGTGAGGTCGACGCCTAATGAATCGAGGGGGATGGGACGACGTTACTTGCAGCAGCCCACCAGCCTCTGGCATCCAATGAAGGCTGAGATTGGATTTCCAAACGGCGGATGTGTCCCCACTTTCTCGCCTTGGCAGGTCGCAGAGGGTGGAGCTCCATGCCTCCGTTTGACAGCTGCAAAATAGAAAATGTATAGCGCATTGAAGATCTGGGAAAGCATGCTGCTTCAAGGCAACCGCTCTACCTCTAGGAATGAGCTGCAGCATGGCCCTTTATAGCCTGCGATTGCCCTCGTAAATCTGGACTAACTGGAGGAACACCAAATAAGGGAGATAACTAGATTTTATTGAGCAGATAATCCTGGGATACTTGAGGCATGCACCGGGCGTTCTCGTACCCGGTGACCGTGGAGCGCAGTCGGACCAAGGAGCGCCTGGAGACGAGTCTGGCTGGGTTGTGTGAGCTGGAGCTCCGCAAGCAGAGGCAGGAGTGCCTGGTGCTGGGAGCGCTGACTCTGGGAGATCCCCTGCCCCAGGACCGCACCAGAGGAGAGCTGGCGTGTTTCAGCAGCTGGGGGCAGGAAAACTTGACACTGAGGCGCCAGCTGGTAAGAAGTTTATGTTGCCTTTTACTGCATGTTTACTTTCCAGCAGCTCTGCCGTGCTGGCTCACCATATTACCCTACCTTTAACCCTTGCACGCACCATTGTCCTGCACAGTTTTCTATAAATAATCATATACATTTGAGTATATAGCCTTTACAGCGTACCCTCATTGTAATCGACCTTCGGGTGGACTCTTGGTTTTGGCTGCGCTTTTTGTGTAGAGGTGACCTCTGCAAAAGAAGTTGTTCAACTTGATTAATAGCATCTCTGTTTGAAAGGATGTAACGCGTTTCTGTGCGTTAGGCTAAGATTAATGCATCAGGGTAACGAAATCGGGGGTGGAGCACCCTCCGTTGGTGACACAGACCGACTCTTTAATGGCCCATTGTTCCTTCATCATGGACTTTTGTAGGCTTTACTACTTAACAAGCTTTTAACTGTGCTCTTTACAGATAATAAAAGTATGAATTATTCCTCCACATTGCATGCTGCTGTTACAGCTAACATGTTTATGTTATAGCTAAATATCCTCTGCATTATTTAGACTATGTCTCAAGCCCAATTGCACAATAGGCTGTTCCAATGGCGCAGGATTTGGTTAATCAAAACAAATTAAAGTTTCAGAGACGCATTACTAATGGCATGTCCCCCACAGAAGGCTGTTTGTATGCACCATCTCTTATGTTTATGATGGTTTCTGTGGTGTTTTGTTTTATTTTTCGTGATGCTGCTTGAAAGTTTAAATGTTGGGGCTGGGAGTTTGGTTTCTGTTTGGCTGCTGCTCTCGTACAGTCCCCAACCTTGTCTCAACAATACTACAATAGAAAGCTATTATTAAAGAGGGTGCAAAAGAAATTAAATCAGCCGCCTCGTCTTCACACCTCCTTTCCTTCCTCCCTCCCTCCTACTCTACCAGGGGCCTAACAATAGGCGCACATGGGGCAGAATACTAATGATGCTGGTCGAGGCCCCGGTGACAGAGAAGATACATGTGGCCTTGGACACTGGCGTCAGTTGGGTAAAACATGCTATGATTGCAATGCCAATTGGTTTTATAATTCTCCTAGAAAACTAGAGTTGAGCTAATTATGAAACCAACTTAAAGATGTAGCCGAAAATGAGGGTATGAGGGTTTCCAGTGCGCCACATGCGCGCACGAACCTTACATTGCTATCACTGGCTGAGCTGTCACTGTGTCGCAGCCATTTTCAGCAAAGCAGTGACACACATTCCCCCGTAGGACCACATATTTTTTTTTCCATTTTCATTTTCTGTGCAACCCGTCATCGGATCGATGTTTATTAACTGTAGTGCTTATCCAAGCGTGTGAGTAATTACACGGTAAAGTCCTTGGAGAAATCTTTTACCGGACAGGACTGTAATTGATGTCTCAAACTGCGTCTTTATAATATCAGGTCACCATCTGCGTCCCAGCCAAATCCCCAATCTCATCTTCCATGTGGGTTAAAGCCTGCAAAATGTACAGTTCACTGTGTGATGCAGAAACAGCTGACCCCTGAGACCCGCGCTGTCTGTCTGTGTGTGTCTATATGTGAGTGTAGCTGTCTATATGGCTCCAGTCAGGCTGAGAGACCTTTTCTGCTGGATACAGTATGTGGTGTTCAAGGTGTTGATAGCTGTGGGAGGTCAGACAGCAGCTGCGAAAGCATGAAGCTCTGACCTCCCTCTCAGCTACCCTGCTGTGAATGTTTGAAGAGGGTGGAGGAAAATACATGAATATGTGAAATGAGTGTGTGATATACATCTGTCTTTGTGAAGGAGTGCTTGCTGAAGTCATGTTTAAAATGAATTCACTTTATTGATTTAAGCATTTACTTTATCATTTGCATATGTCTCTATAGGTATATGAAAAGGACATTCCTTATGCAAGAAGAGGTGTATGGCTCTTTTGCTTTTGCTTTGAGCCTTTGCTGAAATGCTGGTTCATCGGTCAGGGTGTGTGTGTCCTTGGGAAGACAGCTGCACATCATTAGTGAGAGTATCAAGCCGTTAGTCTACTCAGCAATGACTGGTCAGTGAAATGACTCACCGGATGGTCTCTTCCGCTTGGTTCTTGTTGGCCTCTTTAGAAAAGAGCTGCTAAAATACACGCACACAGATAAACCAGGTTGTCCATACATTTGCAAACACTATGTCCACACACTGAGCTGGTCCCACAGCTGTCAGGTACAAAAGCTTGTCTTTTTTTAGAGACTTCATTTGCAGCCAACCCACACCGCCGTGCACTTAGGGTCAGAGCAGGCTAATGAATGCCTTTCATTATGGTTATGGTTATGTATGCACCTTTCTGTGTTTGCACATTCATCCTCCTCACCCTCTTTAATTCACCTTATTTTAATAAAGCATTTAAAATGTGTCTGTGTGTTTAAAGAAGGAAGCGAGCCGTAGTCATGCAGTACAACTGGGGGCAGGGTGTCTTGTGTGTGTGGGTGTGTGTGTATATTTCCGGATTCCCACAGCCTTCTCTGTGTGGAGCCAGTCACAACATTGCTTTAATTAAACAGGGTCCGGCAGCACGGCTGCTTGTGTGCCCTGTTAAATAGATTTCTAAATCCTGGCAGTATCATTTCTAAAGCTTTCTCCCGGTGACTATTCTACATAAAATCTCTTCTGCAGAATCTTATATCCCACTCTCACTCGTCTCTTGGCTGTAAATTCTTCAGTCTCCCACTTTTCCTACACGCTCTCAATGTCATAATGTCCTGGATTCTAGGTGGTCCTGGTGTGTTGTAGCCTACACCCAGTGTGTTAACAGCTGAATGGCTAGGTGAGGCTGGCTGCACCATGTCCTCTGTCGCCCCCATCCCCCACCAGAGGATGAGGTAAAACAGTAATGAAGTGTGCAGAGTGTCAGGGAGCCAGTGTGAGACCATTAATAATAGAGCACAATCAAAGACCAGCCTGCCCAGTGGTCCCATCTACAGTGTGAGCCTTCTCTAATATTGTGTCCTGTGTTTGCTTTATTTGTCCACAAAGGTTTGTTTCTTTTCAGCAGCATTATCATTTAATAATCAGCACCATGACTTCTGCAGTGTGCATGCGCGTGTGCATTTGTGGGCATGGCCACAAAGAGACAGCAAGAAATCAATTGTGTGAAGCAGAATCATTGATTAATTGATTTGCAATAGGCTCCCCTCCTCCCAGCTATTTCTTTACCCAGCAGCAGTAAGCTCATAGCACACTTTGCTTCTTCAACACAAAATCATATTGATATAGTAACACCATAATGCTTTGCTTCAACTAAGACAATAAGTACCTTTGTTTAGACAAAAGAAGTGACAGTGTTTGGGGGTGAAGAGATTGTGTGGGGAAACACAGGTTAGCTTGGGTCAATTAGCACTTGCAATATGACTGCATTTAATCTGCAGGACAAAGGAGTTCAAGCTCAAGGACTGATTTGTTCATCGACCCAAAGATCACACTTTTGTCCTCCCTGGTTTTCTAGGATATTTCTCTGTGCCCGTTAAAGTTTTGAGACACAAGCACATGCCGGTTTTTCAAACTTGACTTATGGAATTTGGTACCGGAAGATCAACAGTGGTGCCTTTAACAGTGGCTGCTGTATTAAGTGTCAAGTCAGATATAATGGAGATTTCAGAAAAGTCAGGTTCTCAGCCATAATTATTCTATTAATAGTGGGATATTCATAATCCCAATAACACTGATATCATGTCAACAAGCTAACACGCTCACGGTAACAACATTAATATGCTGACTTTTAACATGTACAGTACGTTTACCATGTTAAGCATATTAGTTTTTGTGTTAGCATGCTAGTATTTGCCAATTAGCACTAAACATAAAATACTATTTGGACATAAACCAAATTATTTGGAATTTTGAGCTGATGCTGTCACAAGAAGAAAAGCTGAAGGTTCACTGAAGTGATTACAGTTCATCCAAAGGGGCATCACCACATTCCATTCTTTTGGCTTTACCAACTCATGAACATTATCTTCTGATTGATATAGAATTGTGGTCTGGAGATAAATAACTTGAATTCAACTCATCTACTGTATGTACTAATACAGGACACCGCAATACAAATCTCAGCACATATTTCAACAGGTGACTGATTGTGAGTGTCAAACTGCATGAATGTTGGTGTGCAGCTGGAGAAACAAGCAGTGTAGGATTCACAGCTGTGTTTCTGCCTTTAGCATTTCTGCAAACCCATAATTTGCGAGAATTCTTTCAGTCTTTTGCTGTGCTGTTGAAATCACTGATACAGACAGAAAAAAAGACAGACTGTGTATTTGTGTTTCAGAGTGCTCTTCAGAGCTCCCCATGGGGCCTGATGCAGGCGCTGGAACAGCAGGTGGGAGAGCTGAGGATCAACACCGATTATGGCTGCTGTAATGGAGCTCAAGGAGAGGCAGGAGACAGTCATCCGACTTCTGGTATTCTGGCACTTGTAAACCTTTTCTTTCATCACGGCTTGGTTACACATGTAATTAAGAGTTTTCTAAGCATGCACTTTGCCATTTACTCACTTTTGATACAATCCGAAAGTGAATTTTCTGCATGAAATCATTGAATTGTACAACAAAATTCATGTTTTCTCTTTGCATTGTGAAATATCTTTACAATATGTTTGTGATAGTTTATTTCTGCTCTTATTGTTCAAGCAGCATTTTTTTCATTCTAATTGCACTTTTCCCTAGGTTTCTACAAATCAAGTGAGGGTCAATCACCAAAAGGAAGATCAGAGATGGTCTCGTCCTGTCTTGTAACCGATGACAGGTCAAAATCTGTGGGTAAGGAAAACTAGGAGATCTGAAAAGAATGGGTAACACCTAAAAATATCTTTTTAGAAACAGCAACGCAACGAGTATGATACAACAAATTTAATGTAAGTAAAGTGTCACAATTTTTAGGATACAATTTTACCATTTTAGCATGATAACAGCTCAGATTCTGAGCATGTGCACATCTCTTTTCATTTTTCTAAAATTAAAAACAGCCAGTTTGTTATTCTTCTCTCACATTTATTTCTTGTAACTCATCCAAAGACATTAAAAAGGTGTACTAAACGATGTCACACCGGGTTTTTTAAAGGGACTCATTTTGAAATACGAAGTTTGGACTGCCATCATACTGGTTGTTCAAAGTCAGAATCAGGAAATAGTGTGAACACCAGGTGAAAAGAACAAGATGAAATCACCACAGCTAAAACAAATACAGTACATACAAACATAGTGTTTTATGGCATTAAATGAAAAATGTGTGCTTAAAATCTGCACCAAGACGTATATGAGTGGTGAAACTAAGCATTTAAATTGACAGCTTAATCGATAAATAAAATGGATAACCAAAATAAATGCTTTTAGATAATTATTTAAACAAAGCTGTTTTCTTAGCTAGCAGCTAAAATCCAATCATATACTTTGAGATGTGTAAATATAAAATATCTTACATGAACAGCACAACATGAATAATTCACATCTTTTTTATGCTTTTTTATGTAGCATTCTAATTAAATATCTCTGTAATTAGAAGATCCCCTTATGCCGAATGGAGAGTTGGATCTGCCAGTCCTATGTACCAGCCTACCTCGCTCTTTTTCTGCCCCTTACCCACCTCTGGAGGGCATCACAGAAGAGGGCACGGGAGTGGATTCATGGCAGTGGGACCCCAGTGGAGACACCCACACATGGCAGCAGCAGCCTGCAGATGATGAAGTCACAGAAGAGGACTACCAGCATGCCTTGAGGGTGGAGAGCTACATCCTAACTCTCATCCAACGGCATACCCTCTCATCAAGGCCATGCCAGCCTCGTACCACCCTGGGCCCTGAATCTCCATACTGCAGTGCCTCCGGACACAGCTCCCTACACAGGAGAACTCCTCCTTTTACCACAGAGCAACACTTTCCTGATTCTCATCTAAAGCCCCATGGTGACTTTTCTGCAAACCCTAATAACCAGAGCTTTGGTTGTGACCTGCTACAAGGGGAGGCCTGCGGAGGAGAGGCCCCATCTTTGGAGGAGGGCTGTTATCTGTCTCTGCCCTACCCCGAGTCCAAACTGCACTCTCTGGCTGGGAGGCTACCGTCACCTCTGTCCTCCCTGGACTCCAAGTGTGGTGCTGGGCCTCCTGATCCTTGTTGTGAACCTGCATCCCCTCACCATCCACAGGCCTCTTTTCATCACAAACACAGTTTAGTTAATGCTCAGTATATCCCTGGACAAGCTTACCGTGTTCCTTTGTGCGCCTCTAGACATTACAACCCAGAGCAGTCTAAGTCCACCCGAGGTATCACCTCTGTAGACCACCCCAACTCCATGTCCAAATCCTGTAAGAAAGGCCACAAGGAGCGACAGAGATCCAAGAAATCAAGCAGTAAAACCAGTCACTCTCAATCTGAAAACAGCCTCCTCAGCCAACGGGTGCTGCCTGAGCGCAGATACAGCACCACAGAGAGGCACCATGGCAGAGGGGACCAAGGCCAGGTCTCTGGACCACAGGTGGGCAACAACAGCCACAACGGGAGCCGACGCTGGTGCTCCAACCTGGAGCTAAGCCAGGATGAGGGGGAGACCCAAACAGGGCACGCATATAGACAGCCACTTCGAAAAGCTCGCCATGGTCATGCTTGTCAACGCTCCCAACCCCAGAACTACCAGCAGCAGCACCAGCATACACAGCGCTGGCACACAGACTTTGAAGAGAGAGCACCTCTCTGTCAGGAAGAGGAGGGCTATGCTGCCGCCGCCCCCGCAGAGTCAGAGTCCAGCACGAGTGAGGTGTATTCTCCAGCCTCCAGCTCACTGTCCAGTGACTCGGATGAGAGTGGAGGGCTGGTGTGGCCTCAGCAGCTGCCACCACGCCTCGTTTCTACTTCCTCCTCATCTTCACCTTCACCACAGGCCACTGCCAATGCTCCCTCTCAACCAAAAGCCTTTGTCAAGATCAAAGCTTCTCATGCTCTTAAAAAGAAGATCCTCAGATTCCGCTCAGGGTCCCTCAAAGTCATGACTACTGTATGAGGAAATGTTCAGTCCTGTAACGTTTACTACTGTGTTGTAAAGTCAGAGCTACACTGTGGATACTACCTTTGGTCACCAACCAGTCCAGTCTTTACACTCTGCCTCCCTCTAATTGCAGTGTGTTTTTATTGAGAGACATTTACATTAATGGACAAAATTAAAGACCTCCAGTCTTCTTCTGATTAGAGATCATCTGCTTGTTGTTTCTGGCTGAATTTATCTTGTAGGTGACAACCATCAGAAACTACGGGGGATATTTGCTATATTGTGGTGCCACAACTTTTAAATTTAGCAGCATATTTATTGACATTGATGTAAATGAGTGCAGCTGCAGCTCTGTTCATTTGAATGTGTTTCAGCTGGTATGGATGTACCTGTACTGCTCACAGGTGGCCTGAGAGTCACAGTAGAAAAGATTGTTTACCTTAGTAGGCTCTGGTTGAAGAAATCAGCAAACATATTTTGGAGCTTCTATCACACAGTCTTCTGCCAGTCAACTCATTTTTATTTTGTTCAGTAACTAAAGCATGTTTTGACCTCAAAGTCCCTCACATTCTCCTCTGGCGAGCTATGTGATTTACAAACATCATCTTCCCTCCTCAAGCATGTTCTTAACTCTGACAAGATCTCAAATGACTAACAGCTGCCTCTCTGAGGACATTTTACACCTGCTTTTGCCTTAGGTGAAATTTCTGTTGCAGTTCCCTCTGTCGCAGCAGTGGTAAATCAGGCGCTGAGGATATTTGAATGAAAAGACTGTCTCATTTGGTACTAATTGTTTGAATTTCCTTGAAAAAACAACTTCATTTAAACTCAAGTACATATTAGTTGAATATCCATCTATTATTGGAAATTTTATTCTCATTTGCACATCTTGGATGGTTAGCTGGCCTACTCTGCACTAGCCAAAAACTTAGGCTATAATTAATTGAAATGAATTATCCAGAGGTTTATCATTTGAATGCTGTCTCCACTTTCTCTCAACCAAACTACACAGCTCTTTCCAGGAAATGTCTTGAAAGGAATGTCTTCTTCACCACGATGGACCGGTACATCGACCGCATTACTGCGGAAGCTGCACCGATCCGCCTGTCAGTCTCCCGTTCCATCCTTGATTTGATTTGATTTTTGATTTGATTTATTCATTCAAACATGTAAAACAGTTGATATGTCAACACATGTAATTTCACACATATCCAACAATAATAATCCAATATCAATTTACTTATACCTAGTACATGCTTGAACGGAGTAGGAAGAAGTTAGACTTATCTAGTCCTACCCCATGACATCATCTTACAACTTTTAAGTCCTAAGCAGTATCTCTACATAAATAATTATCCTCTACACCACACAAGTAATATACTACAGAATTATTACAGAGTGTTAACATTCTATATAATTACTCATAGATAATTATCTTCTACGCCACACAAGTAATATACTAAAGAGTTATTACAGAGTGTTAACATTCTTACCCCACACCCACAATGTTCCATCTGATTAATCATTCCCTCACTCATGAACAAGACCCCAAGATACTTGAACTCCTCCACTTGAGGCAGGAACTCCCCACCAACCTGAAGGGAACAAGCCACCCTTTTCCGACTGAGAACCATGGCCTCGGATTTGGAGGTGCTGATTCTCATCGCAGCCGCTTCACACTCTGCTGCAAATCGCCCCAGTGCTCGCTGGAGGTCCTGGTTTGATGGAGCCAACAGGACAACGTCGTCTGCAAAAAGCAGAGACGAGATCCTGTGGTCTCCAAACCAGACTCCCTCCGGCCCCTGGCTGCGCCTAAAAATTTTGTCCATAAAAATAATGCACAGAACCGAATTATTAAGATATTGTTCAGAAATTATAGACCTGTAAAATAAAGCATTACTACATCTGTTTTGTGTGGTAAGAAATTAGACCAAGGATTTGTTCTGAACTTCCTCTTTGTGCAGGGGTTGTTGTATAAATTGGTGTTTATATTTTCCTACGGTCTGAAATGTCAAGGGCTGACTGTGAAGTTCTGAGCAGAAATTGTACTGTACCTTTATCGTTATCAGATAAGATGCTCAGCTCTGCCTCTTTGTAAATCTTGGATTCATACTAAAGGGAACTCTCTTCTTCAGCAGCTGTTTTCAGGAGCATAATTTAAGAGCTATCCATGGGTCAGTAATGGGCTTTAGAGGCCACCGTAAGGGACCAATGTACATGCATGCATATAGAGTATGTTTAAGTGTACAGATTCATTGACACAGGGACACAGACTAACACACTCTTGTAAATACATATGTTTTTGTATATACCATCATGTGGCCTTGTTTGGAATGAATGTATGCATTAGGCAGGTGTTGATGCGGAAATAACTATTTACATTTGCTGAGTTTCACATTTGGATAAAATGCCCTTATTTGACAAAGCTACAAACATCACTAAATATTACATGTTCAGCCTCTTCTCTCATCTGTATCTACTGTCTTAGGGTGCGATACATTAAAACAAAGGGACTTAGTCAAGAAGCCTTTTGCACTTGATCCATTCAGCAGCAGAGCGTTTGAGTGTGGCTTCTTCTAGTGGTCTATGAGTGAACTCGTTATAGAAGAGAACGAGACTGTTTTCAAATCTGTCACAAGAACAAATTGTTTATTATACATAATAATATTCTCTTCATCTTATCTAATGTCTGTCTGCAGATATTTATTTAAAACACAAAGTAATGCAGAGATCATGCTATTTCTGTAATTCTATTAATATCAGATGCGGTCCAGGATTATGTAAGAGCAAAACTCAGAAACTTTTTGCATGTAATATGAGCATTTACAGGAAATGTTACAGATTAGCCAATAGTTATTGTTGTGCAGTTATAGCTTTACATTACAACTTTACATTATTATAACACAGACACACATACGCACACGTCAAATACCAAGTGGGTGTGCTCACTAAAGTCACAGTTTAATTGGCCAGTATGCAATTTTAAAATATCATACAGAGAGTAGGTGAAATCACCTGGTCTCTTTTCATTAATACACCCCACTTATTTCACATTCAGTTCACCAAACAGTTTTCCATTTCAAAACTCATAAAACAAGGTTGAACTAATTATTCACTATAGGTTCTGTTAACTCACATTTAGAGCATTTTTTTTATTTTCATATCCCATAAACATTTTCCCTCCACTATACTGACTGGTGTAGGTGCATAGTTTGCCACTAACGGACTGTTTTCACATTCCTCCGCTGTACCCCAATCTCAGGGTTCTCTCTGTTTTGGATCACTGACATACTAACACACTCTTAGCCAGACTAAATACATTTACACATTTTGCTTAATAACAATGTGACAAAGTGAAAACACACAGCAGTACTAACTATGTCAACCACCAATTACAAACTAACAGCAAATGTGTTAGAAAAATTTAAGGAATGCTGAGACTTTTGAAAATTATCAAGCCATCTTCTAATATTCTTGCAAGAAGGAGCATACAACAGCCATTGAGAGTGTCTCTGCACACCCAAACTGCAAATGCTCAAAGGAGTGAACCCTTTGAGTAGTAGTTATACAGCTCAGTGTAAAGTATATTTGCTGAGTTGTAATCTTAGTCACACCAGTGAAGCACTTCCCTCCTAGCATAGGGCCAGGTCACTACGTGTTTTTATCAGAAGGCTGCATGTCTTCTGGCCTCCCAACCTCAAGAGCAATAAACTTTTAGGATGAGCAGTTTCCTAATTTCTTTATGCTGAAGAGCATCCTTTTACAATGACTGCACAACATTTGTTCATAGTAAACATTAGTCACACATAGGAAAAGCTGTGTCCAGTATTTTTCCCATTAAAATGTTTTACAAGGTGCTACCAACACTTTCTGAGACGTCTGCCAATCGCTAACTTTGTTGAACAGCAGACTCCTCATCAGAGTCTGGGTCTGAACCTATACTGATACACCAACCCAGTCTCACAGCAAAATGTGTAATAGCTACATTGGTCTGCAACACAGAACGTACTATTCTCACAGTCACACCTTGAAAAATGTGACACTGCAACATTTTTCTCAATTGAAATTTGAAAATGAAAGTACATTGAAACTTAAAGTATGCTTATGTTTAGGCACAGAAACCACATGACTAGATTTAGGCTCACAAACTTGAAGAATAAGGCTGGGAAAAGGCCCAGGGCTCAGTTAAAACAATTAAAAACAAGCAAAACCCTTAAAATACACAATCTCAGATTCGCTGTATGACATTCAGGTATTTGTTTGATCCATCCATGCACCCCAACCACCAATGTGTAGTGGTTTTAACATTAACCATATGCCTTCAATGCACCCTACATGTTAGTTGCCACTTCTACAGTTCGTGGCAGCAATGCCCCCTTTTTTTTTGTTTTACAACCCTCATAAAACACCAGAAAGAAGACAATGAAGAAGAACACCTGGCTGCAATACAACAGATGTTGCTACATCACAATTTTAAACATTACTGTTACACTACTGCGTCTTACGCTGTGGGCCAATGTGGCTGTAAAACATTGTGCCGTGAGACCAAACTGGATACACAATGATTTCACCATCTACCTTGGAGGGGGCAGTGGTGGGCGGTGCCAGACACCTGGGCTCATTAGCAAATATTTGAATATTCATGAATCATGGAAATCACAATGATGGATAAAAGCAGATGTGTTTTGTGGCATTTTTCTGAGGGTTTTTGTTTATTTTTTGGGGGAGGGGGGGCTCATAGATATATTTTCATTGTAGAGTATATGCATTAAAATGTCTCTGGAGGTTTTTAAGCTGAATCCACTTAAAATGATTTACAGCAAATGTGTCACTCAAGCACAGTGCAGTACATGGAGTTGGTTCCTGTTAAACTACATCAGCGATTTCAGTGCAAACCTCAGCCTTATGTGAGAATATTGTATACATCAAAATCACACCTTCAGATTTTAGTCATTTCCTTTCCAGTGCTCGTGCTCTTGGTGTCAGTCGTAGCGATGCTCATCCTGGTTGTAGGGTCCTCGTTGATGAAGTTGAGCATGTTGCGCAGGGACCGGTTCATGCTGTCTTTGAAGCTTTGGCCCAGACACACATAGAGCAGTGGATTGAGGCAACTGTTGAAATATGCTATGCAGAGTGTTAAAACGTGTGCCAGGTAAATGTTTGGGCTGTGAATGGAACTTCGAGGGATGACCAACGTCACAAAGTCCACAATGTGCAGAGGCAGCCAGCACAGGAAGAAGGTCAGCACCACAGCAAAGATGACTCTCACTGTTCGCTTGGAACGTGTCCGACCACGTGACAGTCCTCTCTGTGTTCTCCTGTACACCACCAAGTGGCAGATCACAATGACCAGGAAAGGGAGGAAGAATCCCAGCAGGAAGCGGAAGGAGGTAACCATCCAGCCACTGACCTTGGTGTACACCCCTGTACACTCTCGCTTGTGTTCACCTGCATCAATCTCCTTGGTGTAGACAAACTGGGGGATGCTACCTAACAGGGCCAAGCACCAGACAGCAACACACCCGAAGGCAGCTTGCTTAGGTCGCCTGTTGTTCTGGCACCAAACGGGTTTGCTAACCATGAGCCAGCGATCCACACTGATCAAAACCAGTTGCAGGACACTGCAGTACATCACCAAGAAAAACAGGCCTTTGACCAATGTGCAGGCCAGCGGGCCAAAGTGCCAGTGGTCATCGTGGACTAAAGGGACCATGAGTAAGGGGATGGAGAGGCAGCACAGAAGATCAGCCAGCGCGAGATTGAGGAACCAGAGGGACGTGACAGAGCGGGGCATGCAGAACCCTGTCACCCACACCACCAGAGCATTTCCAGGGACGCCGAGCAAGATCACAAAGCTGTACGACACCAGAGCCATTATCTGGATTGGTTGAATCTCAGGGGTCAAACCTTCAATTGTGCAGAACCCTGTCACCCACACCACCAGAGCATTTCCAGGGACGCCGAGCAGGATCACAAGGCTGTACCACACCAGAGCCATTATCTGGATTGGTTGAATCTTGGGGGTCAAAACTTCAGGAATTAGGGGTCAAACCTTCAATTGTGAAATTGTAGTCATAGTCATAGTCCGTGCTGTTCGTGGGTTCCATGGTTGGTTAAAGCTGTAGGTGAAAAGGTTTTCAGAAATATAGCATTATAACACTTGGCAGCCTCTGATGATTAAAGTAACAATAAAGGGAGACAAATGTTTCATGTAAAACAAATATAAAAATTTACAATAATTATGTTGATTAGCCCAAGACAGTGTGCAAACACGGCTCTCTGGGGAGCTCGCTTTCTCCCCACTTCTTCATGGTCAGGTTAAACATTTCTTAAGCACGTGGTTTAGCTTTTTTTAAAAACAATTATTCGTATTCATTAGAATTCATTAGAATAGCAGTAATAAGAATAGAAAAGTGGGTGTAAAGTAGCCGGTGGTGTGAGTATTTCAGCACCACGGAGGCGCAGAGAGCAGCGAGAGACCGTTTACCTACACCTTTGTATTCTGGAGTGTTATGGCTCATAAATTTATTACCTGTTTTCTGTTTTACAAACGTGAGAGGGTAAACCAAGCCCCTTGCGTGTGCCACACTGGCTGTAACTTAAAACTTAAGCTGCCTTGTTTTTTAATTTCTGCCACTATGATCTGTAGCCTACACGGCAAATGTCTATTCATGCGCAGACTGTGTGGGAAGTTAAGTCAGTTCTTCAGGTCAGGAAACTGACATGATCAAGAAACACTGATTTGGTCATCTTTGAGTTAAAGTGAAGTTTACTGCGGTGCCAGGTTTCGATGGTGATGGTAAGAATTGCGTGCAGGCTGGTGTTGTGTCGAAATCTTTCCCCATGGAGACGCGTTTCCATAGGCGTAGACCCCTTTCACTAGGACATGTGTGCCAGTAGAGCTTTATGTCTAGAAACTCCTCTGTGTTTTTCGACACAAAACCAGTATCTGTATTCAAATCAATCAGTAATAAACCTAAGTCTGTATTCAAATCAATCAGTAATAAACAATAATAGCCTAATTTTACGCAGGATCCATGATGATAAAAATACAACAAAAAAACAGAAATAGCCTATATGACTGTTGTACCCGGTACTTTTTACCATACTGACTCTGAGAGACGAGACAGTCCAAGTAACTACAAAACAGTGCTGATTTATTCAAAGGATCACAGGTAAAATTAACATTACACGCTCAGGCATCTTGCACCTCCAAACTGCTCGCAGGCAGATGTAAGATGAAAGACCCTGAACCCACCAGACCTATACATTATATCTCTTCGGTTGGGCTAGCCCCATACTACACAGAAACGTCAACCGAGACGTCTCTCTTACCAGTTCTGCAGCTGGTCATAGCAGTAGTCAAAACATGAAGCAAATCAATGTGTGTGTTCGTGTCTGTTGATTAAGTGGGGTGTAGCTAAAAACATTCTCACGACCTCTAGTGACATGTCATGACATTAAACATAATGTGATGACTATGCCAGCCAGAGGAGGTCACTACAAACATTCTCACACGACCTCTAGTAACATGTCGTGACTTAAACATAAGAACATATTATGGCTAAGGCTACAGTTCTACACGTCATAATAATAATATTAAACATCCTGTCTGCTGACAGTCATCAACTTTTCTCTCTAGTTATCTTTGACCAGATGTACCCTGTAGAAACTCATAAACATGACTAAGCATTTAACAGTCTAACTAGACATCCTATCTCCACTAAACATTTCTAATACATAAAGTATCTAACCAATATCTATCTGACTAAAAATACCTAACATGATAAAATAACACATTCTCAATATTTTAGACTGAGACTCCCCAAAAATTTGCAAATCATATTTTCATATATTAAGTAGTTCGCACCATGAAAATAGGCTGTTTAACATTTAACAAAAGAAATGTGTAAAATCTGATTTAAAATTAAAAGTTAAAACCTCAATTTTGTAAGAGTCTGACTTACGGTTCCTGTGGCCTGTTGATGTGTTCCTAACACCACTTGCAGGAAGTTATGAGACTGTGCTGCTTTTAGGTGTTTCTTATACCAACTGCCCCTCACGCACACACAGACACACGCACACACGCACTCAAGCACTTGCACAATATTCCTATCATTACAAGTTGCCCATATATGGGTAGTTTGTCTTGTGAAAAAGGAAGCTTAATCTGAACAAAAATTCCAGTTAAAGTATTTGTCATATAAAATTACACATTATAGCTAAACGTGAACTCATTTCATATTGAAAATATATCCCCTGTCATTTTATTCAACAACTTTTTAAATGCTGAAAACAAATTTCCAGAGTATTTTTACAATATTTATGCAGCATTAGCATTTATACAGGAGCCCTGTGCATAATCGGACAGTAGGCATAAAATAATGATAACAAAAGTGATGTCAGATAATAAATGTAAACATTTTGATGTCGCTTGATGAAGTGATTTTTATATGTGACCTTTATTTGACAATTTTTGGTTTCAGTACCTTTATTTATTTTGTGTGTGTTCTGCATTTACATTTATTTTTAAAGTTGCTTTAAATGCGTCTATTTTTGTACTTCTGTTTCCTGTTCTCTTGGAATACATTAATTTGATCTTATCATAGCTTAAACATGATGTTGCAAAAACCTGACTTACTTTGCTTGTTTGTTTTTTTAATGTCCACATTTTTGTGGTCAAGTTACAGTTTTTCTTGATTGCTTTGACCTGTTTAAAGAAAACTAGGACCCACTCAGTTTTCATCATAACTAACCCATCAGAGCAGAAGACACATATTGCAAATGTGTAAACTTGTTCTCATTGGATTGATGCATTTTCCCACCCTTTTGCAAAACAGATAACACGGATGCCATTCAAGCAGTCCAAACTCCATTGTTTTAGCTATGGTAACCAAAGAGAAACCATCTATTCCTAACTATTAGAAACTACCAAGATCAGTGTGAAATCACTAAAGCACCTGTTTGACACTGCTTCACACAAATCTTCAATTAGCAATCAGTCTGTAAGCCTGATTTTTCCCTAGGTGCCTTGCAAGAGAGGATATTGAATGTGATGTGGATGAGGCCACGTGGCCCCATCCTCAAGACAGAAGAGACTGAGTTTGAGTAGTGGCTATGTCTTACAATAGATTTTACTGTATTTTGGTTTACAATTTTTTCTGTAATATTTAGTTATTATATGCGGTATTTCAGTTTTCAGCCACAGTTACAAAAAGAAGGATCATGTATTCAATAAAAATTGTATCAACGTATTTCTTATTCTGGATCCAATTCTTTGCAAAAAGGCTAATTTGACACAGCCTATATAGAAAGACAAATGACACTGGCTATAGGCTACAATGACAAGCAATGGTGCATTGATTCACACTGAGTTGTGTGTTTATATTATGGCTAAGGCTACAGTTCTACACGTCATAATAATAATATTAAACATCCTGTCTGCTGACAGTCATCAACTTTTCTCTCTAGTTATCTTTGACCAGATGTACCCTGTAGAAACTCATAAACATGACTAAGCATTTAACAGTCTAACTAGACATCCTATCTCCACTAAACATTTCTAATACATAAAGTATCTAACCAATATCTATCTGACTAAAAATACCTAACATGATAAAATAACACATTCTCAATATTTTAGACTGAGACTCCCCAAAAATTTGCAAATCATATTTTCATATATTAAGTAGTTCGCACCATGAAAATAGGCTGTTTAACATTTAACAAAAGAAATGTGTAAAATCTGATTTAAAATTAAAAGTTAAAACCTCAATTTTGTAAGAGTCTGACTTACGGTTCCTGTGGCCTGTTGATGTGTTCCTAACACCACTTGCAGGAAGTTATGAGACTGTGCTGCTTTTAGGTGTTTCTTATACCAACTGCCCCTCACGCACACACAGACACACGCACACACGCACTCAAGCACTTGCACAATATTCCTATCATTACAAGTTGCCCATATATGGGTAGTTTGTCTTGTGAAAAAGGAAGCTTAATCTGAACAAAAATTCCAGTTAAAGTATTTGTCATATAAAATTACACATTATAGCTAAACGTGAACTCATTTCATATTGAAAATATATCCCCTGTCATTTTATTCAACAACTTTTTAAATGCTGAAAACAAATTTCCAGAGTATTTTTACAATATTTATGCAGCATTAGCATTTATACAGGAGCCCTGTGCATAATCGGACAGTAGGCATAAAATAATGATAACAAAAGTGATGTCAGATAATAAATGTAAACATTTTGATGTCGCTTGATGAAGTGATTTTTATATGTGACCTTTATTTGACAATTTTTGGTTTCAGTACCTTTATTTATTTTGTGTGTGTTCTGCATTTACATTTATTTTTAAAGTTGCTTTAAATGCGTCTATTTTTGTACTTCTGTTTCCTGTTCTCTTGGAATACATTAATTTGATCTTATCATAGCTTAAACATGATGTTGCAAAAATCTGACTTACTTTGCTTGTTTGTTTTTTTAATGTCCACATTTTTTGTGGTCAAGTTACAGTTTTTCTTGATTGCTTTGACCTGTTTAAAGAAAACTAGGACCCACTCAGTTTTCATCATCACTAACCCATCAGAGCAGAAGACACATATTGCAAATGTGTAAACTTGTTCTCATTGGATTGATGCATTTTCCCACCCTTTTGCAAAACAGATAACACGGATGCCATTCAAGCAGTCCAAACTCCATTGTTTTAGCTATGGTAACCAAAGAGAAACCATCTATTCCTAACTATTAGAAACTACCAAGATCAGTGTGAAATCACTAAAGCACCTGTTTGACACTGCTTCACACAAATCTTCAATTAGCAATCAGTCTGTAAGCCTGATTTTTCCCTAGGTGCCTTGCAAGAGAGGATATTGAATGTGATGTGGATGAGGCCACGTGGCCCCATCCTCAAGACAGAAGAGACTGAGTTTGAGTAGTGGCTATGTCTTACAATAGATTTTACTGTATTTTGGTTTACAATTTTTTCTGTAATATTTAGTTATTATATGCGGTATTTCAGTTTTCAGCCACAGTTACAAAAAGAAGGATCATGTATTCAATAAAAATTGTATCAACGTATTTCTTATTCTGGATCCAATTCTTTGCAAAAAGGCTAATTTGACACAGCCTATATAGAAAGACAAATGACACTGGCTATAGGCTACAATGACAAGCAATGGTGCATTGATTCACACTGAGTTGTGTGTTTTGTATTTTGTTGTCCATTGTGTAATGATTGACTGAAAGAGCTCATATAAGTAAACAAGTGTTTGCAAGTTGTGTTGTTTTGAAGGCAAAATTAGCTTTTGTTGCATATTTTAAATGTTTTGGCATGGTTAGAGCCTTTTGCAAACAAAATGTGTCATTTTGCCATCAGTGACACTGTTTAGGCAGGTGTGTTAACTGTTTTGAAAATGTGGAGTTTCAAGTGACGGCTGCTTCAAAGCAATCAAGAAAAACTGTAAAGCTTTCTTGCAAATACCATAAATTTCAACTTAAATACTAAAGGTAGATAAAAGCCTGAAATAATGTATGCGCAGTCTGCATAAACTAATTTTGTAGAACAGAATTTATTGAGTATTTTCTAAATGTTATTAAAATGATATAAAACTTTCACATAAAAGCCGCTGTTAGTGGGACAAAATACTTTATTGTCAGATTCATAATCATTTTAGAGTTAAACACAAGTTTTCATATATACAAGTTATTTAGAAATCAACCTACACCAAAATTATAATATTAACAACTTCAATTCCCTATGGTGTCTACAACTGTTGATATGAAAAGCTACTAGAGCTGCCGTCCCTTTTTTGATTACATATATGTCACAAACGAAGTGAAACTTTGATCCAAAAATTACTGGTTATTTTGTAACCTTGTGGAAAATGCTGATTTTAAATTGTACATTGCATGAGTCAGTATTTAACATGAAGGGACATCAGATTTATGATATGACTGCCTTACTGGAGAATTTAGATCAGATACAACCAACACATTTTAGAGCATTTTAATCTGCTGAAAATACTGAGTTTATAACCAGGCCAGAAAGAGAGAAGAACACAAACTAAAGAATTTGTTGCCATGGCAGAATGTCCTCTTTCAGCCCTCTGACAGCATGAGCCCTTAAAAATTAGGAACTAACAAGGGAAATGTCAATGTCACCGTCAGCAAAATTAAATATAAAAACATTATTGCTTAAATCTCTATCATCGGCATCAACAACCTGACTGCATTTGAGAATGTGACTGTGTGTTTATGCCCTGGTTCATGTTCTCATGTTTTTTATACTTGATATACACTCACCGGCCTCTTTATTAGGTACACCTTTGTAATTTTAATGCAACACTTCCACCTTAACATTTGTGTTTATAAAGCTCAAAATGTTTCAGCTTTTGGTGAAATCATCATAAAGGCATACATTCAATTATATGTTTATTGTTGAGGTCATAATTAATGGTGGTGATGTACTGGATTACATTGTATTCAGAGGTGTTCCTAATATTCTGACCCTTTCATGTATGTGGCTAGGGAGGACAAAAATCTAGAGACAACTCTAATAAAATAGCCAGTGAGTACATATGCAGTTTGTTAAATACAAAATGATTTCATAATATAACAATCCTGCCATAAATCCTCCCTTCCTGAAGGTGCTAATGATCATTTTTTGTTCATGCTGTTCGCACAAAATGATGTTTGTGGTGCAGTTGAATTGTACGTGTTATACTGACAGGTGTTTCTACTATTTTGTCCTCCCTATTTGAATCAGTGAGTTTAGGCAGCACAGCAGCACAAAACACAGCCTCTGAAATGATCGCACAGGTCCGTCTACACCTTCCTGAAGCAGACACAACAAAAACTGAACATTATCACCTTCTTCAATGAGGATTTAGTTCAAGACTGTATTACATTTACCTAAGTGTACCTAATAAACTGCCAGCTGGCTCTTCTTGAACACTGATAAAAAAATTTCACAGTTGGCTTGTAGCAATTGTGCTTCCTCCTGTAGCAACAACGCTTTCTGTTCACTCTTTGCATCATCTGTCACTGTCAATCTCCTAGTTTCTATGTTTTGTCATAGTGATTGCTGACATACTTGATGTCTGAGGCTGCGTCATCAGCAGTGCATAATTATCAGAAGCTAAGTCAGTTGAGGGCCCGAGTGCTCGGCAGAAGAGTTGGGGTGTCGTCTCTAAAAGCATCCGACTGAAGGTCTGTAAAGACAAAAGTCAAGCCGAGGACAAAGTCTTTATGTTATGTTCTCAAACTCTTGGTTGTGTATTTTTTTATAAATAACAGCAACAGAAATGCTTGTGGGGTCTTAGAGAATAACAGATTTAGACATTTTGTAAGTTGTTGGTTAGGCTGCTTTATGTGTTTCCCCATGTTCGTTAAACATAGTTTCCTCAAGCAAATTAAGAATATAATACTTCAAAACAATGTTTCTTAAAAACAAAATCCGAATGTGCGTGTTAACTTGGGCATTCTAGATATGAAAGCAGTATGTGGTGTATTATAGCAGACACATGCAGTCTGCACAGTCGTTCACATACATATTCCCATACAAAATTCAAGAAGTGAGATATACAAATGCTGACTAAGCTGGTAGGTGTTAACCATGGGAAATATATTTTTAAAAGGGACAGCAAAACAAAAAGAAATGCTGTTAGGGGGTGATTTGAGGGTTGCTACATTCAAGTCTTTGAAAGTAAATATGTTCTACCAAGCTAAACACAGCCAAGCAGAGGATTGGGATGTTTCAAGGTATTTTTCTATCATAAGAGTGAGCATAAAGCAGAGAGCATGTCAATGTGCCAAACTCACCAATGAGTGTCAAGCCTTGCTGCTGGTTCAGTGTAACTGACGTCTCCTCTTCCTCCTCTTCTTCCTCTCCCCAGTCTGAGATGTTGGCTGGGGGGATGCACTGCTCCAAGAATAGGTCCTCCTCATCTTCCTCCGTGTCCATGTTCTCCGGAGGCCAGCGCAGCTCTCCGCTCTCCACCTCGTTCACCTCTGTGGGTTCCACAACAATGGAGGGTAGGCGTTCTTTCCCATGGTCATGGTCCTGGCTGTTCAAGGGGGTATCTGGGCTCAGCGCAACTTCAACGGGGTCAGGGAAGAGCTGGAAATAAAGGAGAGCTCACTGAGAACTGAGTAGAACTGTGATGTTGAAAATAAGGTCAGTTTACAGCAAAACACTTAGCACAGCATTAGAACAATCTGCCAATCTGTGGCTGTAATAGTTGTTAAATCTGGTGTAATGTCCAGTTTTGACCACCTGAACATTGGCTACAGATTACTACTCTTTCACAAAGACACACACACCTACACAATGTCTGGACCATGGATTATGTGTACTTATTGTGTCTCATGGAATTTACTCTTTGTTTTTATGAACATTTGAGTCCTTCCTGTCAAGCATTTTTGACAAACTAGTTCTTCTGTGTCTGTGCAGATTCTCAGTCATCCAGGTCGTAGTAAGCTGAAAAAACTGGACTAGGTTCTTCTGTACTTCTGTGTGTGTGTGTGTGTGTGTGTGTGTTGCCTCGTGTGATAAATTTAACAGGATTAATGATTATTTGAACTGGTGACAGTAGAATGAGGGAACATACCTGGAATGGCAGTTTTAGTTCCTTGCTTTGCATGTTTTCACACTCTGAGTTTCGGCCACTCATCTCTTCCATCCCTCTGCAGATGAAATAAAGCCGTAATGAGACTAAAACACAAAATAGAAATAGAAGTACACTGTAAAATAATGAGTGCCTTTCTTATCACAAAATCCTTAATAGAATCATCTTCACTTTGCACATTTTTGCTTCATTAGTCCACAGTCCACATGTCTGTAAAGCAATCGCTTGTTTTAGAGACACATGAGCCTGTTTCCAACTTCAATCTGTTTATGGTCTCCAGAAAAGCTGCCGAGGGGATTAAGATGGACTGAGGATCTGTCCGAATCCTCTTTTTATCCCAGCCTCCTGCTCCC